ACCCTAACCCTAACCCTAACCCTAACCCTAACCCTAACCCTAACCCTAACCCTAACCCTAACCCTAACCCTAACCCTAACCCTAACCCTAACCCTCGAGAGTCACCAAACAAGAGCGGACACAGAAATTAGAAGCAGCCCTCTCCAGATTGGTCGCGGCAAAGGATGCGCTGAAGACGACCAAGAGGTGATGCGATCTAATCACGGAGTTCATCCGAGGAACGTGGGATTACCCAGAGGCGAAGAGGAATGCATACCGCCAGCGTCTTTTGCTACAGTGGATTCTCGAGCAGGTGCCTCTGGTTGAAGCCGAGTTGAATGAACCGAAGGTAGCAGAAGGCAGCTCGCGCCCCGGCCGTGGCAAGAAGAGGGGCAGACTCCACCAAGACGAGCAAGTCACGGATGACACGAGGCCTACGAAGCGGAAGAGAGACGACCCCAGCGCGGTCGCGGATCATACTGAATCCTCCACACAAGCAAGAACGCCATCGAAGCGCGGTCGACGCGATGACACGAACCATGCACAACCCTTGAAGCGGGTCCAGAACGACGACCGAAACTCTGCGTCTTATGCCGCAGTGGAAGTGAGCGAGATCTCCAAAGATTGTTCGTCACGATCGATAAAGGCATCCCAAGGTGAGCCAATCTCTCAACAGCTGATGGTTGACAAGGGCATCAACGCCGATGCGGGGGATCTTGCTGGTCAGACGCTATTGCGATCTTCCAGGAGCGGGCACATGGCTGCCATCCAGCTTCGTCGAAGCGCTCGAATTGCGGCTCGTCAAGGCCTTTCTGGAACTACTGTTGCACCTCCGCATGCTACCAACAGTGCAAGCCAACGACGTCGTTGGAAAATCTTACAAGAACGGGTGGCTCCTTCGTCTGGAAGGTCGCGAGAGCGCCAGCCAAAGGCTCCCGCGCCGAAGACGTCAAAGGAAAGAATCACAAGAGACAGCAGGCGGTCTGGCGCATCAATGCAAACCGGAATATTAAAGACAGGACGGACGTTAAGGACAAGAAGGAGGTAAAATAAGCTTGCAGAGGCCTAGCTGTTCGGTTGTGTAACCATCTACCAGCTGCATGCGCTCGACGGCATGGGGGCTTTGACCATACATTATTGTTGGATGGCCGCTATTCTAGGTTCCTCGGAGCCTACAATGGACTTGACTTCTCTCACGGGACGCCTTAACGTGATGGTGGAGGGTGCGACGATATCTCTCGCCGAATGGTAGCCGCAGCCGAATGCCACAGCCAGATGGGCTGCCCTATAGTACGCCCTACGCCGCTTCTTTGCCGGCTTCTACGCTGGGGCGTTTGCGTGTGGTTTGACTGGTTCGCAGCCAGTCTACACAGGCAATCGTTACGGCAAGGCGGCGAGGTAAATGATGTGCATTCTATGTTTCTTAGTCTCCTTAAAGTTTTTAAGGAACTGTAGTAATTGGTCTATTAGATCTCAGATATAAAGCTGTTGCTCTAAACGGCCCTCGCCGACAATAGTGTCTGACTTATACCTGTTGTCGGCCTGCTTGGCCGCTGAACGAATCCCAATATCCGTAACTGCGATCTGATCCGAATTAACCCTGCACCGACATGCTTTTGCCGGCTTAGTTGGACGTTCGCATGCAGCAACCCGGTACCATTGAGAGCCAAACAATGTTCTCTCTAGCGACGAGGGAGATTGAAAGAGACGGATCCCCAGGCTACTTCCGTTGCGTGACACGCATCTGGACTGTCATGAAATGATCCTCGGTGGCATGTGCTGATCAGTTGGCAAGTCTTTCGTCTTTGTTCGACTTCAATCCTAGTAACTTTATTCCCGATATCTTAAACATGAACGATTTTCTTGAGAATCGCATCTCATGGGATAGAATCAGTCCCGTTCGTATCGTATCCTCTCATGCCGGCATTCATCAAACATCCAACCGTGCGGCATCAGGCTTGCAGATCTGCGCAGATCAACGGGAGATTCCCGTATCCGCAAGTGCGTCGTTGTCCGCCTTTGTATCTGATTCGCCCCGGTGAACAATTACGGGGCCTTGCAGCAATATCTTCTTGTGTAACAGCGAGCCTACATCCGACAACATGACGACAATGGCCATGATCCGGTCTAGCCGATATCGCGTGGCCACAACGGCTTTGAAGAGTATAAATTTCCAGGAAACTCCATGATCAGACGGCATTCAACACCGTTCTTCATCCAACTACCCAGTAACTGCTTCTTCCGAAACGGGGGTCCAACATAATACCAAGATGCGCACATTCTTGCTTACTGCCCTCCTGACCTCTTTCGCTCTTGCCACTCCAGTAACTCACTACGCCAAACGCTGGACTTGTGGTGGGGAAGCACCTGCCTTCAGTTGTGAGCCCAACGCCGGCTGCAAGAATGAGATAGCTTGGGGTGAATGCGCTATCAACGACGGATTGGTGGCTTGTGGGGATCCAACGCCGAATCATACCACGCCTGTCTCCCCATGCCAGAGCGCGGCTTTCTCGGCTTGTGGTGAGCACATCGATTGATGCAAGTACTGCTAATCACTAACGGTTATCATAGAAGCAAAACATTGTTGACCAGCGGACGGGGTACCAAGGAGCCAGGTCAGGACGCTGGAAATCAGCTCAGCAAGCGGGTGTAGTGTTAGCACATTTACACAAGTACAGCGTTACGGGCAATGATATACAGGACGGAAAATGCTACACGTTCAGTACCTATGTAGAGATGCTTGTTCAGTTTCTTGGGATTTGGGACCATCGAAAGGAGCCACCATCGAAGCATTCAGACGCGACACCAGCCGCGTAGGGGCTGGGTGGTCCCTTTGAGTGGAGTTCTTGGACCTTCTTTTTGCGCTGTATATATTCCACACGCCCTGCCGTTCCATTCATCAACATGAACAATGGGCCACTATTGCGTTTTTCCAGTCGTACCTTGATTGCCGTTCCCTGGCATACCTTTCGCTCAAATCTAGTCTTGCTATGTCCTCGGCGCTTCTTGTCTTCCCGCTGTTCAGGACCGCAAACCCCTGCGAGTGAGGGCACTTGCAGCTCGTGTTTAGTACTGCGGCTGCATCAAGTCTATGCTGGTGCTGCGATATGTGTCCAAATGTGTTTTCCGATGTTACGATTCCGCGGTAGGGAATCCCTGCCCGTTTCCTGTCGGGCGCCATGAATAGCACAGATTCATTGGGCTCAAAGAAGTAGTGGCCGAGCGCACCCAGAGACATTCTCTGCTCCTTTACCTATCTGGGCTGCGTATGGGTAAACCGTCCACTGGACCCCTCGAGACCGTAGGGTGAAGTGCCAGTTGTCATCATTCCCATTTGAAACCACCTCTGCGCAAGCTGGAGAGGTCAGTATCAGTCACGGATTGTGTTTGATAACATGGAACTGCCAATTCATCACAATGCCATCGGGGGATTAGGAATACACAATCCATCTGTCTTCAAAGCAGCTCGTATCGAGAGACTGTACAGATCGTTCTCTTGCATTGCGCGGTCTTGACCGTCCAGTGTCCACCCATCGGTTCCTGCCTTCGAACCCAGTCCATCCCCTTCTCGCTTGCATGAGTCAAAGTCTATGATGACAGGATTATCTCCATCCATCATGATGTTCGTTGGGGTGAGATCGTTGTGCACAAGCCCCAACTTATGCATGTGACGAACACCCGCTTCAATCCCGCGCAAGCAATGTCCCCTGTCAAAAGGTGTGCCGTCCTTTAACATCTGCGAGAGGGTGACAAAGTACCTGGCAAAGGCGAGTCCTCTTATCCTCCCCGCCTTAACAATACAGCCCAGGTATGGTGCGATGTTGGAATGAGGGTGTCTTTTCAAGATTTCGCACGCCTCCACTTCGGTCAAAATATGACTGCCACAATCCAGATCGTCGAGGCCATAGTACAGAAGGCGGGGTCGCTTGAGGTAGGAGGTGGGAGGTAGAGAGTCCGGAACTCGACTGAACTTGGGATTAGCCAAAGGCCAGATTTGGTCGGTAGGAATCCTGGTTGTGTCTAGCCCATTGATGTCAACGATGGAGAATCGGGTCATCCGCTGATTGATCTTTGCGTAGAAGTATTCGTCATCGGCGTCTCGCAGGATGATTTTTGTGTGGTCGAAAATGACATCGCCATCCTTCTCGACAAAGATTTCGCCATGCTCGCAAATTTCCATTGCTATGTACATGTTAGACTGAAACAAACGCTAATATTATCCATTCTAAAGTAGAGGTACCTTGCTTGGTTAGGGGCGGCGACCGCAATGTCGTGTCAGGGATCGCTGTATTAAAGCGGGGAGGAAGCAGTGGTATTTTTGTTGCCTGCGTTCGGGGTTTGCGGATAGATCCGCCAGCCGCTCAGCTGCCAGTGACGCGCACGTGAAAACTGCATGCTTATGCGCCAGCGCACTTGTTCAAGTCCGATTGGCATTGTCAGCATTCGGGGCTGCGGTGCGCATCAGTCTGTCCTTTCGAGACCGTTTCCACTCCTTATCTAAGGGCTCAATCTTCCCACCCAATACTTGCACACGGCCGGGCTCCAGCATGACCACACCCCGTCTCACGTCAGAGTCTCTCAGGACTATTTTGACCCCCATAGGAGAGTTCGTGTCCAGACCGCATTTGCCAGAGAGATCAAGAGCATATACTCGTAAACCGTTGGCATCCTGCAGTAAAAGCTTGAAGGGTCCCTTGCTTTTTTCTGCCAGTTGTTGCTGCTCCTCTTCCCCCAGAACAACACGCACAATTTCTCGACCTTTCGTCTTTTCTCCGCGCTCTTGTGACTCAATTGCCTCGACCTGACTCCACCTTGAACGACCAATGTCCTCTACGTCCAGCAGTTGACACAACACAGGGCCGGCCAGATAGCGACTCTGGCTTGCGCTCGTAAGGATATCCTGTGGAAACACCGTGTGCAGTGGTTGCTCAAATGAGACTGTAAGATCAGTAGCAAGCAGACGGAACAACGCCGTCTGCTTTAGAGCTGGAAGTGGAGTGTTGGGGCGGGTGGAAGAGAGAAATGCTTGGAGCCAGGAGCGTGTGGGGTAAAGATGGCGGGCATTGAAATGTGCGGTGAGTTCAGCGAGCAAGTCCGAAGCCATACCAGGTCGGGTGTAAAGGAATATATGTCTAGCTGCGATCTGGGCGTGGTGTATAGAAGAGCATCAATAGCGGTGGACGTCGAATTGTGTCCATCACGTGCAGGATCCTCAAGGCCGCGGCCTTGGCGCGGCAAGATGTAAACGTTGAGCTCTAACAGAACGTATACTTGTCCCGCTGGAGTTCCCCGTCGACGCATTGCCCGTGTACTTCCGTTGCATGTTCCACGATGTCTACCATAGCCTCTCCTCGGCCGTCATCGTCCATCCGCTCGCCATCCTCTACTCGTACGTCAATTGACACCGCAGCGAGACCACCAGCCAATTCCCGTCGTAACCGCGCTGCACTTCGGGACTATTACGGTATCAAGAGTGCCAGCAAAGGCGCTGATACCAAGATTTCTGAAGAATCATCACGGACGGAGCTTGGCCCAGATGTCGAGGCCGAAACTCTGAGCGAATTGGATTCGGAAACTTTTGACGCTGAGGCATACGTCAACACCATACTCGCTACGCGCGGACTGTCAGAAGTACTCAAGACTGAGGCAGACCTACTGTCCCGTACGTATACCATCCTCTGCAACTTATTCTGGCGGATTATTATTAACTGCAGGCCAGAGATACGGAACCTTGACAGTGACCGGAAATCTCTCGTTTACGACAATTACTCTAAACTTCTTGCCGCCACATCGACGATTCGGAGAATGCGCACGAACATGGACCCTTTGGCCCCCACCACACATACCCTCTCGCCTGCTATATCGCACATCGCGGAGACTGCAGCATCTATCTCCTCCTCGGCGCATGCCAGCGTTGCACACCCGGCTGGTCTAGGGATCCAGGTCCGGATCGATGAGCCAGGTCACCAGTCTGGCAGCGACAAGGACCGCCAGAAAGAAAGGGCCACTGTTCTGTGGGTTTTGGATACCCCGCGGCGATTGAATGCTCTGTTGGCCGAGAGAAGGACCAAGGAAGCTCAAGAAGATTGGGCAGAGGTCAGCCGATTGCTCCAGAAATGGGGAAAGGTGAATGGCGTTGGAGAACTGCGCACCGCTTGCGAGAACATCATGGATGCGATTCAAGATCCGCCCGAGGCTGGCTCCTAATGATGCCCTGCGTGCATCAATCATCATTGCCGGAGTTGTCCATCATTATCCCAGCGCAGCTTTCGATGGGGTCTGGATGTTCAAAACGACTCTTTATCGATAACGATTCAGCCCGTCGCACACCCCTGATCATCCGAGCCGAGCCGAGACTCGGCGTCGCTCAACAACTTGTCACAGCGATGCTCGAACCTTCACTGCCGAAACCTGTCAGCAGCCAAATTCCTCATCGCAATGGTCTCGTGAACGGAACCTATGACTCCTCCACACTGTGACCTTCTCTTATCATCGAAACGACGACAACAGGCTTGCCCCGTCATGGTTTACCTCTGATCCGCCGGGCAGCGCATCCCCTATGCCCATCCACCTCCATCGTCGACCACCATGATAAGATCCAACCGCCTCCTGGGCCCTGTGGTCAAGAGAGGTCTGTGTCTATATCGCCGGCAAGTCCATGATTTACCGGGCCCGGCTCTATTCACAAGAAGTATCCACACCAATGTAGACGGTCCATCCAGCCCACCGTCGTCCTCGCAGCCTACGGAGTCGCTCACGAAACATTCCACCGTGACGGCGCACGACTCGAGAAGTCATAGAACCGGAAACGTCCATGATGTCGCTCCCCTTCCCTCCGCCATTGCACCTTCAAAGTCTATACGAACCGAACCGCAAAAGTCAATCCCAGGGCCCACGTGGGTCTGGCTTGAACCGCTATACACACCCTTTCGAGCGTATGGGCGCGCACATCAGCGCAGGCCATACATGACGCAGTTCGTCAGCACGCTAGTCATCTATCTTGTCGGCGATTTCGCAGCCCAGAGCGTTGGTAAAGAGGATATCGAAGGTCAAGACGTCAATATATGCGCCGAAGAGGGATGTGAGGAAAGAGGGATTATACGTTCTTGGGCTGACAACAGAGACTGGCAGAGAACCGGGCGGGCGCTTTTGATCGGTGGACTGGCAGCTGTGCCGGGATACAAGTGGTTTTTGTGGCTGAGCAATTCCTTCAATTACAGCTCTAAGTTGTTGTCACTGACTGTCAAGGTAAGCACAGCCTCCGTTACACAATCTACCCCGGGCTGAAGACTGATTCATGTTTAGGTTGTCGTCAACCAGGCCGTGTTTACTCCAGTCTTCAACACGTACTTCTTCGGCATGCAGCACCTTCTAACTCATTCAATCTCGGACATCTCCCCTTCGTCCCTTGCAACGCATATATCCAACACTGTCCCGACATCGTGGGTCAACAGTTGCAAGCTGTGGCCTGCCGTCACCGCCTTTATGTTTGCCTATGTCAAACTCGAATATAGAAGCTTACTGGGCGGAGTCATCGCGATTGGATGGCAGACGTATCTGAGTTTGTTAGACGCAAGAGCTAGGAAAGCAGAGAGAGAGAAGAAGATTGCCAACGGAGCGGAATCGCGCCGTCCTGAGCAACAGTCCGAGGGCTGTGGCGCCGCAAGCAATGAGCATCAGCGCGCGGCTTCAGGTTGATTACGTACCATGCATAGCGCGGCGCTGGGGTGCTAGGGTATAGATCGATAGAGGGATAGACAGATAGCATACACGTTCGCAGAGACAAGGATACATAGAGCGTTGAATTTCACGACTTTTTTTTCCCCTACACCAAACGGGCCTGCGCAGGTCAGGCGAGATGCAGGCATTTGTGGTCATACAGTATGTAACCATATCACTGCAGAGGAAAATCACGGTGGGGACATATCAAACTCAAAAGAAATCTTTCTACTGTATACCGTCCATGTGTCATGGAGTACGTTGTATATTTATACAATGAAGTGAACGTGACGAGAACCAAAGAACCCATCACTTAAAATGCAGAGGAACCTAGCCTCGAAACTGAAGATACCAATTCACAATGGCGCTCTAGAGGAGCCCCCAGTCTTGACCAATAGTGACCCATCTACCGGATCGAAGGCGCAACGCACTGGAAGTAGTAGGGGTTCCACTGCCTGCAAACCAGGCCATCCGCGCACTTGGTGGCACCGGTGAAATTGATGCCTCCGCACTGCTGCCACTCCGCCGCAGTGACGGCAACATTGCCTCCGTTGCCGGGAGCCGGGGTGGGGGTAACTGTAGAGCGAGTGGACGTGATGAGGGTGGTACGGGGAGGGTTGGCGGGAGCGGTAGTGGTGGGACGAGGGGCGGCGGAAGACTGAGCAGGAGCAGGAGCCGGAGCAGCACTGCTGGCGCCGTCCCAGACCTTGGGGCCGGGGATGGGGTAGGACGAGAAGCTGCCGTAAAGGTCGAAAAGTACACCAGGGTCGGTGGCCTTATAAGCACCGGGAATGGCCACACCAGCGGGGAGGGTGACGGAGCCGGACGACGTGACCTTGATCTGAACGCACTCCATGTAAAACTGCGCTCCCCCACTGCGGAAACCCTCATGGAGAGCAATGATCTCAGGGCGAAGGAGGTACTCGCCAGGGGCAAGGTTAGGCAGGACAATGCTGTGCTTTCCGCGGTTGGCAATCAGATTGTCGACGGCCCACTTGCCATTGGCGAAGCCCTCTTCGGCGAGCTTCAGCCAGACATTGCCCTCGCCGTTGGAGGCAGCAGGAGCAATGTAGGTCATGACAGGGCCTCTGTGGGAGGAAGCGATGATGTCGTCCGAGGCACTGTTGCTGTCGTGGTGCCACTCGAAGGTGATCTTGTCCCCACCGGATACCTCGACGAACTTGGCCGCGGCTTTGCCACCGTTCACATTGCAGGTCATGTCCTTGGACGTGACGTCCACGATGGGGCTGTTGTTGGGAGGCGACCGGATGTAGCCAGAGGCACTGTTCCCGAGTCCTTGGTCAACGTCGTTGACGAGGATGTTGAAAACGGTAGCGTGAGCGGCGGCCGTCTTGAGGAGGCCAGCGGCTGCGAAAGCAAAGGCGGCTGTGGGCTTCATTGTGAAGGTTGGTATGTTTGTGGACGAAAATGAGTGGATGCTATAAAGAAGCAAGTGGTGTGAAAAGAAGACGGCGGAATTGAGAATCGAAGACCAGCTATGTGGTAGAAAAACGAGTGAAGAAGTGGAGGAAATGAGTGCAGCTTCAAGCGTGGTGTCTCACCGAAGGGTGGAATGAGGCTCTTATACCGCCTGGTCGCTGCTCAGTGCACATCGTTCTCCTCAGCGCTTCCATCTCGCTTCCAGTTTGACGTCTCTAGCGCGTGATGCTGAGGACAAGTGCATTCTCGACCTTGCTCCAACCTTGCTCCATCATCAAGCCAAGAGAAACTCATCTATCCAGCCCACGCTAGACTCCAAGGATCCTAGGTGGCGTCCGTGGTTGCCGCAGACCTTTGGAAATAGGTGCATACTTTAGGGCTGGCGTCTTGGTTACGACTCGGTAGCAGTAATAACCATCCTCCCGACTGAACGGTTCGTGGGGCCTTGCCTGGGCACGTTGCTGGTTTCTGGATCCTGCTCCCTTCGTTTGACCAACAGGGGCTGATAAGGACTGTAAGTATGAAACCTCAACAAGGTGGAATTGGAAATGGAAGGCTCACGAATAACCGCAGAGCGGCGTCAAACGAAACGCTATGCATCGACTTCGGTCCCTTCATGCGATGACGAAAGAGTCGTGGGACTCCCCTACATCTCTGGCCACCCACGTATAGTAGCCATGCGTCTATAACCAGAAACCGAGTGGAGGTCCTCCGCATGGGAGTACTGTACAGGAACCGCATTCAGTTGAGCAAATCCGAAAGACAGAAGGATTTCTCGATAATCTCGGAACTCTTGACTGTTTAGATCAATATTCCGCCTCATCCCTAAGCGACCAGGCTTTCGGACGATGTCAGTCGTGGGAAAACAACGGAGCCAGGCCCGACGTTTTGCAAAGGAGGCGGCTAAGCATTCGTGCTCGGCGTCTGCGGTGTTCCTGACATCTCCGTTGTTGAATCATCGTCGTGTAGCACCCATGAAGCAGGGTCCTATTCTGGTCTAGTCTGAGGAATTAGCAGCGTTGCGAGTGTTTCAAGGCTTCTGAAAGTGTCCCGCGCCCAACCGCCGTCACACGCATCAAGAGCTCCTTCATATAAAAAAAAGTACTGCCTTGGGTCGTTTTTTATTATCCCGCGGATGCAGCACGGCTAAAGGGGGAACCAGCAATAGAATAATAGCGGGTGCGACGAGGTTGATGAGCTTCTGCGTGTCTGTCGTGCGAGTGAAGGGCCAGGAAGGGTCCGGCGGTTCGTCCTGGTTGTCGGATCTCGGCTCCGAGATTGAACCTCCTTCTCACCCTTGGCCCTTGGCCATCACGCACTTCCCCTCCCTGCATACAAGTAGATAATAATAAGCTCACCTCCTCCGTCGCTTGAAATGACTTGCGTACCTATCTCGCTTGCGCGTCGTGGGACACGAATCTCCCCATTGATTATCAGATCCAACAAGACCTACCAACTAGCCTTCGAGAGCGCCGGACGCCAAGATCCCATACGACAACAGATTGTCAGCCATTCACCACCCACAGATGGAGATGGATCTTTATTGTAGCATAATAACTTGGACGCTATAGGTAGTGGTACTGCACACGAGTTGTGCGATGTACACCTGGGCAGATGGCATCTCTAATCCATCAATCACCTCTCGGTCACGTGAGGCGACATTCACCACAAGGTTCAACAGCAGGATGACCGACCGGAAAACCGACCGGGAAGGAAAGTCAATCATCGCGGACGATGAGAGGGCTTCTCCAGTTTACCTCCACGGGGGGTTTCATGCCTCCGGTCCCCTTATGATGAGCGAGCCAGCGTCGATGCCGACATGAGGCTTGAAATTCTATGTGCATTATCTCGGAGTCATCCGTGCCGCACACCTTTACGGGACGTTGACCAGCATCCCGACCTTCTGCTCCTTGCTTCTCCTCGTTTCTTCGAATTCACGGGCCAACCGTTGTATGCAATGTCCTGCCGATGTCCGTTTTCATACCGGCATTGACAGTTCTGTTGGCCACCCCTTCCCGCTTCGCCCTCGCAACATATCGTTTATAATCTCACGCCATTGTCGAAAGTGCCACGAGCAGACTTAACCGCAGTGACTCGAGGATATGAGGTGTACATTGACCTGGTCAAGCCCGCACGCTTTCCGGGCATCTTCGTAAGGTCCAGGAAGGTACGGTAAGTAGGAGCCTCCCCTTCATCACCTGATGGTTCTTAGGATTCGTTTGTGCGTATTTTATCAGGCGAGGTGCATATGAATGATCCTGCTTTTGTCGGTGTACGGTAATGCAGAAAAATGAGCAGCACAGGATGATCTTCCATGGGCAACTCTGGACCAACCAGAGTGGAACCTGGCGTCAAACGCCAACGCCGGGCTATAGAGGGTTAAGTTTGGCTCGGTGAATGCCTTCGCACCAGGAGGTCGGAGTCGAGGTTGACAGCAAATGGTCGCCATATTTGGCTGAGCCGCATCCTGGGATATGACCACCGCCCTGGCCGCCAATTGCACAATTCACCGAGCATCCGTAGTGGTTCTCCGGCTCCATCCACATATCATTTATACATAAGTATACTGAAGGACTTGGTACCGAGTTACAAGTCCTGAGCTATACTTGGGAGGGTACTTGAATGCCTTCACTGATAGCCAAGAGAGCGGAGACGGCTTGATACAGTGAACTACCTTCGAAAAGCAGAGGTGGCCGACCCCAATGGGTTCATCGACGACGCCCCACTGCACACCCGCCTGCAGTTCCTGTATGGGTGAGACCACATGCATACTTCAGTTCAAAAACTTGGCGTCATCGACGTTTCGGGAGGCGGCGCAGGAGTTTAAGGGTCTAAAAATGAACCGAACACCTATTCACCCACGAGCCATTCACCGCGCCGCAGTGTGGCCCGTATTGTGGCTAAATTTCAAAGCAAAGACCGCGTCCGTCAGCCTTTTTATACCAACCGTACTACACATCCAAGTCGTCTAAACCTGCTGAAAACCCAGATAATTTCGGCCTTTGCATGCGTTGGAATAGGGGTGCTATAACCGAACTTAAGCAGCAATGGGCAGGAAGATGCCTATTAGAGTCAGCAACGGGTCGAAAGACATTAGAGCTATGTTGCAAGCTTACCCCACTCGCCCTCAGCCGTGACATTCTTATCCAAGTTCAAAGTAACCTCGTTCTCTTCCAACTCGAACTCCAAGGACCCAAGGGTATCCGAGATTACAAACTGCCCAGTGTTCTCGCACAGCTTTCCGACCTGTGACTTTGTGATGTCTTTGCCCTGGAGGCCCGCGCCTGTGAAGTACGCTCAGCTACAATTTTCACGCATTGGATTCTTCCACGTACTTGCAGGGTCAAAGATATAATCGATCTTTGACAGCGTCAAACCGGCGCCCTTGCTTTGGGCAAGGGTAATCTTGAACGAGCTTGGCTCAATCGCCTCGAATCCGGCGGGTGGCGCCGCAGGAGACTTGTTCTCAGAGACCGTGACCTCATCGGCATTGGCCGCTTGATATTCATACTCGAATGCACCAACAGCCTGAATGTGTTAGGTCACATTCAGACTGCTGAAATGGGAAAGCTTACAGTTGAAGTGAACAAGATGTCCTGTTTCAGTTCGCCCTATAGCCGTGAGCGAAAGTCGAATCGTATTCCGCTTTACTCTACTCACTCCCTGGACTGCGACAGGTACATCGAACTTTCCGTTCAGGACCAACTCATCTACTTTAAATTAGCCATTGATAAGAATAGAAGCACTAGGGCAACCTCACTCTCTTTGGCCTCCTCTTCTCCTCCAGTAGCTCCTTCCCCGCCTCCAACAGCGCCTTGGCCACCGCCTCCTTGAGCACCGCACCCTAAAGTCACGCCCTGAGCTTGGAGGTTGCGCAGCAAAGTATTCAACTGATTTACGGTCATGCCGCGGATGCCAGTGCCCCGCAGGATTTGAGCCATCTGCTGCTTGCCGCCACGGACGCCATTTGCAGCCGGAAGAGCAGCCACAGACTGCAATCCAAGGAGAAGACTGAGAGGAAGAAGAGAAAGCGGGATATACATCCTGAAAAAACAAAGCAGCACTGCTGTGATAGGTTTAAGGGAACAGGATCAACGGACCAGCCGAAAAGAGGCGAAAAATCGCAAAGCAATGGAATGTGGACGATGTCGAGCGATAGCAAAGAAACACCCTGGAAGGTGAATTGACGCCTTATATATAGAATGGTCCCGGGTGAGCATTAGAATGCCTTGAATACATCAGTCATGCACTGAGGGGTGGGCACTTGGAGTACACCGCTAGCCGTTTCCCACAACAACTCCTCGACGAAACTGCGGAAGGGTAGCCTGCAAGTCATGGAGCGGAGGCCAAGTCCGTCGCATATCCTTACTCGCGCATATAGGAAGTCGCACCTTAAGTCTACAGAAAGGCGTCGTGTTTTACTCGCCGCCCATAGGGAAGGGGTGCAACGGGAGCCTCACAAATCTACGAACCCCATCTAACGCCGCTCGTGATCATTCTGCTTGGCTCTGCAGCTGTTGCAACCATTACCGCGTGTCTCAGAAGGCGGCAAAACCGCCAGCGAACCCGCCAGCGAACACCAAGACCTTGGCCTCATTGGCATTCATCCTTGGCGTTTGGAGCTCCGTCTGGTTGAAGTCGTACCTATGTAGACCCAGATCGTACGTAAAACCATGTCCCTGGACGGACATTTGCTCGCGATAACGCGGAAATGGGATACGAATACTCCTTTCGAACAGATATCCATCCTATTAAAGCTGGTCTGCGAGATCCTCTCTATTCCAAAAGTGGAGATACTGACAAGACTTGCACTCCCCGTCTCTATCTATGAATACCCGGTACAATCTTGTAATTCGGCTGCTAGGTACTGTAATCGCAATGTCAAGTTCCACCTCCGCCTGTCAACATCAGGACTTCTCAACAATCACCTTTTCGGGGGTTGCAACTCCGCTTTCGCTTCCACTTCCTGTGTCACTTTGCGCCGCTCTTTTGACTTTCTTGAATTCTCCTCCCCGTAGGGCAGTCCACACCTCCCAGATTTGTTTTCGTCCGTCGATTATAGGATATAACCCCACGACGAACAGGGTTCCCCAGAGCCAGATGATTGCAATCGCAATCCAGGCAGCGAAGAAGCGTTCGCCGAAGATATACTTGCTGGCATACATGGGCAATGGCCAAAGAACCCAATGACCAAGGAAGGTAGCGAGGGCCCAGATAGAAGCGATACGACCCCACCGTTTCAGTACAGACTCTGACAGTGCAGATTCCGCCTCTTGCCCCTCGATGTTCGAGGTAAAACTGGTAGCCCTCCCGGCAATGGATGCAGTGTCTACTTCGAATGCAAGCTTTTCTTTGCGGAAGTCTGCCCAATCGAAATATTCAGGCTTGAAGAGCGTGATGATGACAGAATATGGAAGCGGCGAAATCGCTGACGCAACAGTTCCCCATACGCAAGGTACAGTGGCCCCAGTTGTGGCTATTGTAACCTCACCGTAGAGGGCATATGCGACCCCCAGCCACACGGCTATTCCAGTAAGCATACCCAACAGTGGTGAAATGATAGCAGCGGCTTTTGACTGTCTCCTCCATAAAATAGTGAAGGTGGTCGGGAAAATGCCTGGGCAGGTCAGGACTCCAAGCATATAAAGTGTCCACCCGAGATCGACTCCGACGTAGTGCAACATCGTGGAGAAAGCGGAGGCAAACAGAGCGAAGAATATAACTCCATAATGAGACCAGCGAATAACATCACGGTCGCTCGCGTCGCGGTTGAAGTATGTCCGGTACATATCGAAACTGATGATTGAGGAGACCGCAATGACTTGAGCGCTGAGAGTAGAGGTGACTGCCATGAAAGTTATGATCAGTATTCCTGCCGCACCCCCTTTTCCGGCAATGGTCATGGCAAAGTATGGGAGTACTAGGCCGCCAGAAATTTCTTGGGACGTCATACGCTACACAAATCAGCCTCTTTTCATCAATCGCGAACCAATACCCTAAGGGCACCTACCCTTGGAAAGGTTGGAAACACAGGAGTGTTTTCCAGTCCCAGAACCACAGAACTGGCCAGTGTGCCCATGCACCAAGGAATGGCGAAGTATGCAATGCCGCCTATCACGTATCCAGGGACGACTGCTTGCGGACTGGCCGAGAATGCCTTGATGAAGAAACTGGTATCCATGATGACCAGACCGAAGTTGGCGGCGATGTGCAGGATTCCGAAGAGTATCCCGCCCTTGGAGGTCATTGTTAAGTAGGATCCCTGCTCATTCCCAGCAACCGGATGTCGCTGGCCGGCAGCTTTGACCAGCTCGAAAAGATTCGACAAGGAACCCACTTCGTCCAGCGTGAAGGCCTTCACGCTGAAGTAGCAGAGAATGATTAGGATCGTGAAGGTGTGCATATAATCGGTCAGGAATGTCGCCTTGATGCCCCCAACGAATGTATACAGAGCAACGCCGACTGGCAGCAGGAAAGTTGCGGCGATGATGTGCATCCCGGTCATGGCCGAAATAGCGGATGAAGCTCCAAGTAGCATATTCGCTACGGCAAAGAGATTGTTGACCAGGCATAGGAACATGTACACAATATGTGCCGCTGTACCATATCGAATTCTGACAATCTCGAGCAACGTGTGGGCTTCCGGAATTTTGCGCTTGCAGGATATGCCCAGCACGGCGAAGAAAACGATCATGGGGCTGCAGCCAGCTGCGAACCAGAAGGGGCCTGAAATGCCATTTACGTATCCGACTAAGGTGGAACCAAGCATTGCGGTTGACCAGAGCCATGATGAGACGACTGCAGATGAAGTGAGGCCAGTGGTGACGCTTCGGTTGGCGGTCATGAACCTGCAGGGAGGTCAGGACGAACATGTAATCCAGTTGCCAGGAGTCCGTTACATTTCGGTCTTCTTGTTATCTTCACCCACCGTTCGTTTAAGCAATTTCGTCACGAAGACCATCACTAACGTTGTCAGACACTGTTACTGCCACGATTATTGTCTTGTACCCACCTGATGCAATGACCAGACCGATAACGACGACTACGATGTAGCCAACCGCCTGGGATAGTGGAGGCTGCACCACTACCTCAGTGCCATCGTCTCTTCCTTTCAGACTTGGAAGCATCGTGTTTCCGCGGCACGCAGAGACTCTGAACTCAAACAATGGTTCCCTTATATTCAGATGGACGAGACGAGGCCATTTTAACTCCTCGGAGCACAAAGCCGCGGAAGGTTGAAGTCTGGTAGAATCATATACATTGCGTTATTCTGGGCTCGAAAAACGTGCAGAAGCACGTTTCGAGGAAGATAAACTCGCTCTAAGCCGACATTGGCAGAAAGCCTTGGGCCAAGGACAGGCCAGAATCTGTGGGCGTGAGGTCTTGAAGGTCTTCGCTGGAAATAAGCCGTTATCGGAGAGGGCCTGGATGCTGCGAATCACAGCCACCAGGTGTGCGTGCTCTAGGCTTAGATGGTGTTGTTTTCAGGCTTTGCCGGTTGATCGACTAACAAGCGGTCGGCTGATAATTCAAAACTTATACCCCTAGGAAAGAGGAAAATTCAACGCCGTAGATATTATCCTTCAAATTCTGGAGGTTGCTGTTCTCAGCAGCTCACGAACAAGAGGGTAGGCATGCAATTGCAGTGCTCCTGCCCACCACAGCCGGCAGCTTCACGCTTCATTATTGACCCTCGGGGTTCGGAGTTGCCCCTCATCCCCATTCCCGTAATTATCCTTCCCTTGGCTCCTCCCCTCCCAGAGTATTTTATCAGATCTGAAGGCGACCCTCATTGTTCGCACGCAAATCACGCTAGTCCAAAAATGGTCATGGGAGAGTATGATGTAATGCTTCCCCAGCATGTTGCAATGTACCGCATCCTCACCTCGCCCGCAATGCTCGCAACGAGTCCTCCAAGCACTGAAGAGCTTTATTATTGAAGCGAAATCGCCGCCAAAATGAGGCAGGTCATCTCGCACGGTTTCGCTCTCGGAATTTCGGAAACCTCGGAACCTCCTTCGAAACCTCCCTCGGAACCGCCTTGCTCCTTCCCTCCAACATGGCCACAGAAGCGATTCAGAGTGGCGAACAGCCAAAGAAGTCCCTCATTCTGAACGCATTCGTCGAGATGTGCTCAGGACATCAGTCACCCGGTCTTTGGCGTCACCCAGACGACCACTCCAAGGACTTCAACTCAGTCGACCATTGGATCGAGCTCGCAAAGCTCCTGGAGAGAGCAAAGTTCCATGGCATGTTCATTGCAGACGTCTTAGGCGGTTATGATGTCTACAAGGGCCCACATAATCTAGAGCCAGCCATCAGGAGCGCCGCTCAGTGGCCTGTTAATGAGCCGTTGGCCGTCATTCCTGCCATGGCGGCCGCGACAACGAGTCTTTCATTTGGAGCCACGGTTGCGGTAACTTATGAACAGCCTTTCCATTTAGCACGGAGGCTATCTACGGTCGATCACTTGACGAATGGAAGAGTAGGTTGGAACATTGTTACGGGCTATCTGGACTCTGCGGCTCGTAACCTGGGCTATACTCAGCAGCCTGAGCATGACGAAAGGCAAGTACCGTTAAGTCACGGTTGAACAATTGTACGAATATTGATGACTGTAGATATGCTATCGCGGAGGAGTATATCCGCGTCATGTACAAGCTCTTCGAAAGTTCATGGCGTGACGACGCCGTGGTCCTGGACAAAGAACGCGGAATCTACACCGACCCCAGCCGAGTCCGTGAGATCAACCACAAGGGGAAATACTACTCAGTACCAGGCCCTCATATCTGCCAGCCATCACCGCAACGTACCCCACTCCTCCTGCAAGCGGGGACCAGCCGCGCGGGTAAGGCCTTTGCGGCTCAGCATGCCGAAGCGATTTTTGTTGGCGGCCACAGCCCATCGGTGATTGCGAAGAACATTGCAGAGATAAGAAGCCTTGCCGAGAGCTTCGGGAGAAACAGACACGATGTCAAGTTCCTCGCCATGATGTGCCCTATCATCGGCAAAACGGAAGAGGAGGCGCGGGCCAAATATGAGGACTACATCCAGTATGGGGACATTGAGGGTGCACTTGCGCTCTTTGGGGGGTGGACGGGTATCGATCTGAGTGTCTATGGTGATGACGAGGAGCTCAGACATGTGGAGTCGAACGCTATCCGGTGAAGTTCATGCAATCGATTCATTGCGATACAATCACTGACTTCACCAGATCCGCAGTGGAAGCCTGGTCACATGCAATTCCCGGGATCCCGCGTTGGACCAAGAAGACGGTCGGTCGCCATTTGGCCATTGGTGGCTTGGGCGCAACCGTTATCGGTACTCCCGCCACTGTTGCCGACGAATTCGAGCGCTGGGTGCGCGAGGCGGATGTTGACGGATTCAACATTGCTTACGCGGTCAAACCAGGCACATTCGTTGATGTGGCAGAGCTGTTGATCCCCGAGCTGAGGCGGAGAGGCTTGTTCTGGGATGATTACAAGGTTCCGGGAGGCACATACAGGGAGAATTTCTATGGGCAGAAGGGTCAAAGCAGAGTGTTGGATAGACATATTGCTTCGAAGTATACCTGGAAGGCAGGGGTGGAGAAGGAGGCATTCAAGGAGCCGGAGTCATAGGTGCCACTGATTATGAGAAGCAGTTTTTGTTGGGTCGATCAGATGAAATTATATTCGATTGTTGATTCCGTCCTTAATCTTTGATGCTACGGAGACAAATATCGAAATTCTACACTGCTAATGAATTCTTGGGATAGCTAAGAGCGTCTCTTCGACAGGTGACATTCACATTCGACCACGACGTCCACTCAAAAACGCATTGCTTCTGCCGCCCTCTCATCCTTTACAGGTTGTGAGAGGGTGGTCTCCATCTCTCTGATGACGTTTCTCATTGCCGTGCACACATTACCAACAGCAACGGCATGTTGAGGAAGCAAAGCTCCAGCTTGTTGGAAACTCAAGTAGGCTTTCCTTGCATTTCTCAATTGTGTGTTACGCAGATAGTTCTGATTCCAGTTGAAAACTGTATCGTTGAAAGACATGATTGGACCGCTTAGCGTCCTGGTATTGGGGTTTGTAGTGGCTGCGGCCCTTAGCGCTGGAGGCGGAGAGATTGGGGTCAATGGTGCCATAATCAGTGGCCTTGTGTGTGGTTCTCTTTATAATCTTCTGTGACTGTCTTGAATGTGTAATTCGTTGCTTGAGGGGTTGCAAGGAGAAGCTATATAGGTCATGGGGGTCACATTCTAATTCACAGTTGTGGGGTTACAATATGTCACAGAGCCCGTCGTGGAGAAAGTGGATTCTAAGCGCCGCGCCTCAAATTCACGTTCCGCTAAGTGCTTCAAGTGTCAATCACAACGACTAACGCTTGGTATGAGGCTCAATCTCAATTTTGCAGAGTGTACGTCCCGAGCATTCACTTCTCCAAGATTCAAGCATTAGATATTCTAGTATCATCACAGCCTTTAAGATTCACGGTACGGCAACATCATAGCAAGCAGTGCGACCCGTGTGGTTACTAACTGCGAGAAATTCAGAATGCGTGCAGTAGTAAAGGACAACACATAGTTAAGTAAATTTTGTGTGATTAAAAAGTCGCTGGAAGAAACAAACAGCCGCTATCATTATGTCTAGGAAACTTAATAAGGAAATATGTCTCGAGTATCGAAGTCCTAGTCTCCCCACCTTGGTTATACTATATACCGTCTCTATAATAAGAAATGATTTGATTGCTCCTGAGATAGTTGGTGAGGAGGGAGAGGGTAAGAAGCCTGCAAAGAGGGTTTCAGGAGAGAGGCGCTGTAGACGTTGCGGCGAGACTGGCCACAATGTGCGCACCTGCAACATAGAGATTGAGGATGGAAATAATAGCGATATATCTGAATAATACTTTAGTATCCTGCAATTTACTCTATCTTGTTGTAGTGTTGAGTTATAGGCTTGCAAAGACATGTAACTTGGTTGGGGTGCCAGCTCGCTTGGGGGTGCCAGCTCGCATGGGAAACACGTTACAGGAAAAACTATGCCCTAGTTATAATTGAAAACCATGCCACCCCTCCCATTTATGTAAAATAACCCATGAGATATCGTCAATGAGTAGGCGCCGGAAGCGACAACGAGAAGCCCAAAATTGGCTGCAGGGAAAGACCGAGGTGTACTTTCTCGTCGAAGGTTTAAAGGAAGCTATGGCGAAGTCGCAAATCGTCTGGCTCGCCGCGATTCAACCGTCTCTCAGAAGGGGTTCGCCCATGCTCCCCAGAATGGTATCGATGCGGTGCAGCATTTGGTCGGAAACATACTCTCCCAACGCCTTGTACGGACTTTTCTTGTCAAGGCCAGCACATTGCCCAGGAACTCCCCACGCAACCTTCGCGCGTTCTGGAGGTGAATGTCAGGTGCGTGGTGTCTCGACTCGAACCACAATTTCGTCTCCGCATTGAATTCGTTCATCGTCCGCAGAAGAGAACGCAACGGCTCCCTTTGACGTTCAGAGTCACTGAGCTTTAAATCCTTAGGTATTTTGACTTCAGTAGGTCTCATTGTGTGTATTTTTCTTTCGTCTGTAGGGCGTTCTTCAGAGTGTTTAAAGATTCCCAAAAGATGATCGAAATAGGAAGTGGTTTTATTGGGTCGAGTCGCGTAGTTGAAGTGTCTATTTCGGGTTTTGTGCTGTGTAATAGTGAAAAAGCTTTTAGGTCTATTCGATAGATGCCCTTAGACTTTATATAGTAGCTATTGAGCCACATGTTAAGCAGTCAGTGTTGTTATTATAGTCAGATATTGTGACTGCGCTCAAAGTCAAAGTGTGGAGTCAAATAGTTTTGCTTATTATATCTCCAAGTATAGTCGTGTGATTCAATCAATTGTTGGTCAACGCCACCACCACGCTCAAAATATGTAGTCATCTTCCGAAAGACTCAAGCAAATATGGCTTAGAGAACTGCTTCTTTAGTGCTATGACGCCGAAAGCAAAGGTAGATCATACATCTTCGCTTGTCAAACTTCACGTTACGCAAATGGCTTCAAGTATGAGGGGCAATCTTTATTTTTGCAGGGTGTATGTCACCAACATTCACTCGCCCGCCTTCCAATTATTTCCCGTCCCATCGCAGGCTCCATAGTTCAATGCGTTGTGACCTGGCAAGGAATAGTGCACCTGTTCTTGTTACTAGCACTAACCACAAGAGATATAGAACGTGTGTGTTAGTAAAGGGCAACATCTAGGGGAGTAAGTTCTGTAGAATTCAAAGCCGGTTCTAAGGACAGATCGCCTCTAGTATTAGATCTAAAATACCGAGAAGGAAAATGTGTATCCATCGTCTAAATTTTTAATCCGCTTAGCTTAGTCGACCTATACCACCTATCCAAAGAATTTCGGGGAATAAACAGTCCTTATAATAGGAAAAATACAAACAAAACTGTGTAAAATAACCAAAAACAAGTCCATACACTCCGTTCACGCCATATACCCCATCATAATTGCTTATGCTTCTAGAAGGTCGCCAGGCTCGGAATACCATTGTTTCCGTAGTACGATCTGAAAGCCGCTGGCAAGTACAGCCCATAAGTCGTCTTGTTCCATCGAAAACTCAATTATCGGATTGGGTTACCGCCATTCATGCTTTTAAGGTTCTCCTTCATGTCGTTTTCAACCTTCGTTATCTCCTCGGAATCCAAACCGCTATTAGGGGAGTGCTTGCGGAACCGTTCATACACATCCCTTGCCCATGAGAGGAACCGCTCCCGGACGCTATCATTTCGGGCTTTTTCCCAACCCTGGGACTCTTTATTAAACTGTCTGATCAGATACGCAAGGTATCCCAGCGGTGTCTTTTCCGGTGCGGACTTGCACTTCTTAGGTACGGATATCTCGTATATAGTAGGCATTTTATATAATAGACTTCGATCTGCAGCGTGGTTTGTCTTTTGGTAAGTAAAGTAGTAGTTAAGGAAGGTAAAGCTACAGAGTATTGCTGATAAAGTAGGGTCGCCAGGTTCCAATAGCTTTTTCGCGTGTACTGTGCAATGCAGGATGTTTGGACTATAGTCTATTCTGTGGATTTAGCGAGACTTTATATAGTAACTATTGAGTCAAATCAAAGTTGGTTTACTCAATAACAGTTATATACTCCCTGGCGACGATCTAAACCTCTGTAGAGTCATGTAGCTCACACTTTATAGCTGTGTGATTTCATGCATTCCACTGCTCTACGACACTGGAAACATATAGTCATTTTCGGGGATGCGTAAGTAAAAGTCATTTAGAGAACTGGCTTTTGCTACAAAGACTTGGAAAGCAAAGACGAGCCCCGCAACACCCCTTGCTCTATTGTACATGTAGCTCAATCATGATTCATCAGGTAAGCCTGTGACCACTCACGATGTCAAGAATTTCCTCCATTTGTCTTCTAACCAGCTCCGTATACGAAGCGTATCTGGGTGGACTACGCTGATGAACCGCGAGAAATGACTGAAAGCACCGGAACACTTGCTCGAATTCAAGGCTGCGGTTTCTGCGGCTTCGGCTTCTGACCCATGCAGTAACGTGCTCGTTGAAGCTTCTAATATGCTCCACCATATCTCTCAACCACGGATCTTGTGCAGCATCGCCGGTCGTGTAGCTCGGGGTAATGTGGATCGGGGGTATGTAGATCTCGTCTGTACTCATTATGTACGAAGTAGCTTTGTATGACCTCCAGCAATGGTGAAGTCAAGGTTTGATGCGTGGAGCTTCGTTGATGGTAACTCGGTTGAGAATAGGCGTCTTTATGGTAGGTAATGCTGCGTTCGTTGTACTAGGTACGAATTTGAATTGGTACTGCGTAAGTGTGTGAAGTTTGGTTGGCCTCTCCGTGAAGGTTTTTGTCCTTATATAGTATTCTTCCAGTCATAACCCTAAAGTCAAAATCGCCTGCTGTCATAGCGAGTAACTGGATACTCGACGTGGAGTATTGTCACTAAGACCGTACCACTCTTTATATCCTCATGTGTATGCACCTTACCATGAATGTCATTGGATTAGAACACTTGACGCATCAGTCATCGTCCTCCGAATCGCTCAAACAAGTAAGCCACTACTGTGAGGCCTCGTGCAAGCCCAGTCAGGTTGCATTATGTTACAATGGATCCCGGCAGGCTAACAAAAGTTCAAGAGAGCTTTGACTAGTTTTCCACTGAGCAAGACTTTCTATATTACCACCTAGAGTCATTGAACTCAAGCCATGATCCTCTCCACGGCGGCTGTGGACGGTAGACTCAGCGGGACACGGCTCGGGAAGAGGGCGAATCCATTATATGCTTACACGCAGGCGTGATAGAGAGAGGGGATTCATTCTTGCGAAGCGACGCAACTGAGAAATGGTAAAGACGGGTACCCGTGCGAGCTGAGATATCCCGCTTATATAAGTTATAACTCCATCTTGCATAATCAACAGTTTCATCACCATAGCACATTCTTACGGTATGCGGATATATCTTCCTGTCCATCTGTTCACGTAGACCAAGGTGGATACCCGTACTGAAGGTACTGCGGTTTTCTCTTATAATGCTGCACCGCCTGCCAGTTCGATCGCACGTGGAGAATAGCCGTATAGAGGAAGTAACAAGGAACTGTACAATTGGATGTTGAAAGGGGCCGTATGAGCTACGTGGCTATGACCCAACACACCGATTTCCCTAATCCTGCCACCCACGATACACAATCCTGGAGCCATACTTCTGCCCCCTCTTCAACACGACCTGCGACTTATACTCGGGGATATTGATCGCATTCACGTAGCGACTCGGCTCCACGCAGAACCCGGAACGAGCGCGTCGAGCGGGCAATCCGTCAACAGCAGGCACGTCAATGTACTTGCCCGTGTAGAACTGGAACGCTGGTTCGGTAGTCTCGATTTCGAGATGGATCTTAGTGTCAGGGTGGTAGAAAGAGGCGACCTTGTTAAGCGGCGAGTTCCTCGTGTCGATGGGAATGCTGGGAGAGTCCGTGTTGACGATGAAGCAGTCGTCGATATCCGGTTCCTTCTCTCCAAGAGTGAAGGGTTGGGAAGGCGTCACTCCGGGATACTCCGCAATGGGCCCGGTAGGAATGCCTCCAGCATCGACTACTTGGTACATGTTGGTGATGAGAGTCACTTCTGTGCCTGCAATAGTTGGGGCATCGCTGAGAATGAAGTAGCTAAACACAGAGGTCAGCAGGAATCCATCCAGCAAGGATATCAGCGCCTACCTGTGGTTGGTGATGTTGACGGCGGTCTCCTCGACCTCGTCCCCAACCAGCTCTGCTTCGAATTCGATATGTAAAACCTCCTTGCCGTTTTCCTTCTCTTGCACATACCAGACCCGCACCTCGACCGTCCCAGGGTAGCCTTCCTCCCCGTCCACGCTGAGATATTTGAAGAGAACAGCTTGCTTTCCCTTGCGCTCCACGTTCAAGGGCCCTTCCCACTCCCGCTTTCCCCACCCGTTAACCCCACCGTGGAGAGCGTTGGGGCCATTATTTGCTGCCAAGGGGTACGACTTCCCATTCAAGGCATTGATCTTGGCGTTGGAAATCCGGTTCGCAACACGGCCGATTGTCTCACCAAAAAATGGACCGTTGTACTTTTTGTATTGCTCGGCAGTGTTGAATCCCTGCACAATGTTGCGCCCATTGATCTTAAACTCTTGGATGATAGCTCCCAAGGGGAGGAAGGTGAAGGCCTGCTCAGACATAGTTGGAGAATGGTTGGCTCAATGGCTGGCTCAAGACGTTATTGCTAATGAAAGAAGTCAGCAATCCGCTCGAACAACCAGCCCCATCTTAAAACAACGTCAAGTGCGTACCGCCAAACTGTTTCTGAGATGGTGCACGACGGTTGAGGGGGGGATGCGGGAGCGATACTCAATGCGGCTTCTTTCCCTGCTGATGATCTCATGAACAAACGTACCGAAATAATGAAAGCCAACTACTGGACTTTTCGTATGTCGCGACGCTCCCAAGTATGGGAAGGAATACAATTCTGGGGATGAAGGGAAGTGAGGGACACTTGAGTGATTTGAAGAAGATCCTTAAGTTTGTTAATTATTAGCCTAATGAATCGGGGAATTTGGCATATTAACCCGGTATCGCAATCGAGGCACGTATGTGGAGAACTGGAGCAGAAGCTGCTATGGGCCAGGTGTAACAGCTGCCCGCGCGATTACGACTAGCCTTACGGCTCCGAGGGTCTACTTGTGGTGGTAGGGGAAGCGGTATACTGCGAACTGGTTACCAGTCGTCACTTTACCGTCGCCAAGCCCGATAGTGTCATGGGGTCCGTGCCCCGGTTGGTCTCAATAATACCCATCATTGCTCCGTATGACCGTGGAGAAGTTATTTTGCTTTCATTGCAGAACTCAAGAGCCGGGATGCATAGCGCGCAATGGAGCAGCCACGCATAAATCATGTCTCCTTCCAAATTCCAACCTTTTGAGCATGTCGGATGGAATGATGACGGCAGACGGTGGGCCCATGAGGCGACGACGACCTTACTCCGCAATGGTGTCGGCGCCGGAGTGTTTCTTCTTGCTGAATAACCTTTTGATCGACGAGAGACTGGACTTCCTCAAGATTCGACGGGAGGACGAGGAATAGTTCTCAAATGACGATTGAGACCGCTGTACGGGCTCTTTGACCAGCGGTTCGGTAGTGCGCGGCGACAAGAGGGCTGGAGACAACGCACCGTGCCGGCCGGAGACGGAGTGTTTTGGCGTTCCAGGACTGCTGCTCGGAAACAGGCCAAACTGTGCACGAGGGTGCGAAGCCTGGGCCGATGTAGAGCGTGGAAGCGCAGCAGCGGTGGGCGATGCAACAGAGCCACCAGATAAAGAAGAATATGCAGAGTCCTTTCCAGTCAAGGGCGGGCTCAGATCCTCTTTGCTGGGGTTCGTGATCGGTCGTTTCGGCATAGGCTGCTCTCTCCCACGATCTTCATTGACAGCGACACTGGAATGCTGCTGTAAGCCTTCAACTAGCGAAGTATCCCAGTCTTTACGCCCTCGTTGTTTATGTCGGCCTCGCTCAAGCAGAGTGTGTTCGTCAAGATCTGACTCGACACGTCGAATCCCCGCAGAGAGGTTCGCTTCTAGGTTTGGCAGTCGATAAGGTCCTGTCGCTTCCGCTTCACTGCTCGTTTGGTGGTCGATGACCTCGTCCGAGCGAGAAGAAGAAAGTTGGCCAGTGGGATGCGCCGCGGTAATGGCATGCCTTGAGGGAGAAGGGTCTGCGGTGTGTTCGCCAGCAGAAGGTGTGAAAGGAGGCTTCTCATTGGGAACCGAAGGAAGCGGCTTGTTATCCGCGAAGTTCCTGAAGGAGCGGCCAGCATCCCTGGAGTTTGTACTCCGCGATGACGATCGACTTGCAATCTTCCCAGCACCGTGTCAGTACAAGGAAGTAGTGGTAGCACAACGGGTATCGTGGCTGCACGATTGATGGCACAGGAAAGAGCGCACTCACCAGACTTCGCCGACTTGCCGCGCCACATCGTTTCTCAATCTCGTTGCAGTAACTGCTAACCTGCACAAGCACGACGCCTAGCTTTTCAGCCTTAGCGACCAAGCTTTGCAAGAACTGTGACCATCCTGAGGTATTGCCGCACATGGCAGAGTATATGCGTCCAACGTCGTCATTCGCGTCAACCCAACCGTCTCCAATGGTGTTGAGATACATGTCCAAGTCATTATTTGCGTCTCGAAAGGTGCTCATATCTATGAGATAGTCATTCAGTAATATCGACATCCGATTTATGGTCCGCTCAATAGTGACGTTGCCGTCGAGAAGCTGTGCACGATAGGTGCGGTCGTCCAGGAGACGGTCGAATTCGTTGACATGTTCCATGGGCACCTTCAAGCATTTCCGCCGAAACAACATGTCATTCAGGCTACCCTCGATGTCCTCGTTCGCCCTCTGTAGGAAGCCGTCCAACTCATTCACGTGCTTGAGCAATATGTCGGCCACATCCGCTACCGACTTCTCGAGGTGCTGGTGCAGGAGATGTACACCGAAGACAATCTGCGCCATGGTCTTTAGCAGGGGGTGAAATTTCCCTTTTGGATTGTTCCTCCAATGACAGTTGTATGTGAAGTTCCAGTCAAGCTCAGAGGCATCTACCTCCCGACACAGCAGCTGCTGTCTGGCGTCCATGTTGTGCTTCGGGGCCTGAAAGGGTACATAACCAGTCTCACCCGTCGCGTCGAGCATCGATTCTTCGAAGGGGGCTTGCATGGAAGGGAGCGGATGCACGGGAAAGGTCATGATGTACTGGTCACGCTGGGCTTGCCATTCGAGGGGGTTGGATGTCTGGCTCGTCCGGTCGAGGCTACGACTGCGGCGGGAGCGCCGAGAACTGCTTCGGAAGGGAACCATTGTGAGTGCTTGTTCTACCCAGGTCCACCACTGTATTTTTTCTCTTTCCCTTCCCTCCTACCAGCTTATATCTATGGGGAACAAGAGCGAGCGTCCGGTGGGCGTCGAATGCGCGTTCAGACCGATGTCAGTTGCCCTTTGTAACGGAGATAGGGGCTGGGCTAGGAGTAGACAGTGATCGCACGGGGAGGGAGATGTCTGAAGATAATAAGCATGACATGGGAATCAGCTCAGCAGCAGGAAAGAAGGAAAAGGAGAAGAAGGGGACGGCATGTTGGCGCAAACAAAGAAGGCAGAGCGGTAGGCGGAAGAGCGGTGGAGGAGGGTGAGGTGTGGGAGGCAGAGAGTGGTGCACGAAGCTCGATCCGGGGGCTCTCCTCCTGGCCAGCGCACTGCAGCGCTCGCGAGTTGTCCTGTTCGCTCCTGGAGTCCGTGTGGTCAGCAACGGGATCCAGGGGATGCGTTCTGGCAAACGGGGGGTTTTCTTCTCGCCCGCCGCGGGAGGGAGTCTGAGTGGCTCGAGAGTCCGGGTCCCCGGCTGGATGCGCTCTTTTAGTGCAGGTCCCACGATCAATGCGCCGCGCGCGACCTCAACACCGACCGATCAACTACCACCTGCAGACAGACCACTACCAACACCACCAGCCAACCAGCCACCTTCACCTTACGCGCTCCCCGTTACTCCAATCGCCTGTCGATTGCGCCTGTGTTCGCGCGCTTCTCTCCGTTGCCATGGACTCGCCGTCCGCCCAGGATGCGCTCGCCGACGACACGTCGACTTCATCACCCCAACTGCTGTCGCCAGACCAGCAACCTGAGTCGCCCTCGTCGCAAACCAACTCACCCACTATCGATCCCCTCGTGTCGCGCGTAGCCGAGCGCATTGCCGCAGCAATCAATGACTTCAAGCGCGAGCTCGACCAGCGCGACAGCGCCTGGGGAACGGCAAAGGGTTCCCTCGAGCTCTCGCTGAAGACCGACGACTCGCGCACCTATGAACTCACCATCGTGCAAGATGAAGACGGCGCCGAGTATCCCATTACAGTGCGCCCGAGCCTCAAGGACGTCAAAAGCAGCGCCAACGGTGGTCGCGATTCCACCGCCCGCCCTGCTGCTGCTGCTGGGTCCACTGCGCAGAAGCGCACAAGGCGCGACTCGGACGGCGAACTGGAGAAGGACTTTGTGTCGAGGAAGAAGCGGAAATTGGAGGAAGAAGGGATGGACGCCTCCGGCAAGCGTGCGCACACCGACGAGGTGGATGAGGACGAGGACATCATGCCCCTCATCTCCAAGGAGGACCTGGAACACCTGCTCTCGAAGCTGAGGGACGAGATACAGGACGACACAGCAGAATGCGTCAATCACGTACAAAGACTACTGCGGCGATTCAAGGACGAATGGCACGAGCGAATCACATGGGAAGATGAGCATGGTGGCCCAGCATCGCGTCAAGGTCCAATGTCTGCCAGGGGCTCGGTCGGTGGTGCCGGAGGAGCTCCATTCCCCTCGCCCATCGCAGAAAGAGACGACCAGAACACCTCCACCAACGACCTCATTCGCCAAGAAGTCAAGTTACTGTCCAGCCAGATCAAATGGGTGGAAGAGTGCAGGAGGGTAGCCGACTCCCTCCACGACAAGCGGGAAGAAAACTGGCGCACTTCTTCGGCTAGTTTCCACGATCGAAACCGTCAGGACAGAGAGCACTTCCAGAACCGGATGCTGCACGAATCGGCTGTGCAGGGCAAGATGCTAAACGAGATCCTCAATGAGGTGAAAGCCATTGGCCTCTATGCCCAGAGCATGAAGTGGGAGACGCCAGACCACCTAGCACCCCGCGCTGCATATCCATCCGTACCTATTCCTCCCGCCTTCCCACAGGCGCCACCGCCTACTGCTGCTACCGGGGCAGGAAGAGGACGGGGGAATCAGAATAAGCGATGACGGTTACGGTGGGCGCGTCCCCGCGAAGGCGGAGGCGGTCGTCCACACGAATCTCCTTTTCCATGACACTGTGCACTCTTATGGTGCTCCTTTCGACATGGCTACGTCTTAGAGGAACTTGGTGGGGCCATTTGTCCGCGACCCGTACCCGGACACAGAGCCCCTTCTAAACCGCTGATGTAGTGGAGCCTCTTCCACATGGCTCTATACTGTTCTTCTAATGAGGGCTTGATATCCACGTCCGACGAACAGAGTGGGTTCGCAGCGGTCATCACTCCGCCGCTTTTCAAGCGTCACAACACGCTTCCGGTGGTGTAGTCAGATTGCCACCAATTTAATCGCACTGAATTGGAGATCAAACTTGAAGGGGAAGTCCAGGTGTTCACTCGCACGTCAAAGAAGGCACTATTTCATTTCATCAAGCCGGCTGGTGCCTGGCTAGCCATTCACAAGGCCATTTATCAATCAACATAGATCCGCTTGGCATCCATGCTCGCATCTGTACGCTCTCTGTCTCGGTGTGCTTCCGTTGATTAACTTCATACTGTTTATATCTTTCCCCTTTACTTGTGCACCTACTATCTAGTCCCGGCCTGAGATAGCCTCTCACCAACCCCGCCACCTCACCCAAACATCCACGACCTTCTCCTTTCCCGTCTCCTCCGTCTCTTGGCTATCCACAACATAGTACCACCCAAAACCCGCCCCCGCAACACAGGCATGATTCGGCCAGACCGCAACTCTATCCCCGACCTGTACCTCCCTGAACCTCTCGCTCTCCCCCTGCCAGGCCAGAATCCCGTGCTCCTGACTGATCCTCGACACGATCCAGCCCTCTCTATCTCCCTGCTCGTCGTAGATAGGCGCTGTGGTGGACGATTCGGATCCGAGTTCAAGACACGAAGAGAGGATTCCCCAGCCAGGATACGATCTACAGGGTTCGCGACCCAGCGCTAGGGAGCCAGCATTGATAAGGGCTTCAGGTGGAGAGCGCTCGGGGTAGACGCTGGATACTTCCGCTAGGATTCTGAGAGCGATGTTGGATTTGGAGAGGGGCTGGAATGCAGGTGTCTCTGAGCTGTTGTGTGAACTGGAGCTCTGGCTGGGTGGAATCTTTGCGGGGCGCGCGTGCGTGGCCACTTGTTGGAGATCGAGGAGGGGGTAGACGCCGGCATGGAGTTCGACTTCGCAACCCTTGTTCTTTAATCTGGCAAGGGTTTGGCGCACTTCGGCGACCTTAGCAGATCCAGAATCTGAGGAGAATAGGTTCTGTGCGGCGGTGGCGGTGGGCGTGGCACCCACACTGAGTACCAAGCTACCTTGAAACTCTGCAGGAAGATATTTCGCCGCGTTTTCCAGACCTTGCAGCTCCTCTAGCAGCCCTCTCAGCGCATCGTCTTCGCCACTGCCGCCATACGAGTGCCCATAATGGCTGTAGAGTCCGGTGAACGACGTTCCACTCCTGCGTACCATGTCCTGCAAAGTAGATCTGAAGGTAGGTGAGGAAGGAGAGAGTCCGGCGCGAGCGTAGCCGGTGTCGATTTTTATGAAGATGCCGATAGAGGCGGTGGATGCAGAGGGGTGGGAGAGAAAGGCGGTTAGGGCGGTCGGATTGTCGAGGAGGATGGAGATGGTGTTGGGTGGAAGCCGGGCGGCGAGGTGGTGGAGACGGGGAAGGCTGGACGGAGGGAGGGGGACAGCATACAGGATCTGCGATGTGTTGGTCTCAGCATCAATGATATCGCCGTTAAGCAGTTGGTCGCCAGGCTAGCATTCATGGCCACTGAATTTCAAGCCAACCGAACGACTGGGACGAATAGATTGAGACCGCACACGTCAAGGGGGATTCCTGATAGCAAAGAGAAGTAGGCCTACATTGCACTTTCTACCGCGCGCCTGGTATTCGTTGGCCAAAGGCACAAGGTTCTCCGCTTCTATGAGCGTCGAAACGGCGAAATGTGCGGTTCTGGAGTCGTCATCGCCCACCTGCATCCTCGAAAGCTCAATTGTCTGTTGCACCGTATCAGCTCTTTTGAACCCATCATATTTACTACGAATTTCGAGATAGCGAGATAAACTGTTGCAGCTATCGTCATAACCTTAAGAGAGTGAGATATAATAACACACCTTGTGACTTTTCACGTGCGCCCTGAAGGCAACTCCAAGTGCATGGCACACATTGAGCATAGCGTCACAGTTTCTACGCACGATAGCGCGATCAATGATGGCAGCAGGGGTTGGAAGGGACCACGAAGTAAGCTCCACATTGAGATACTTGTTGAGAAGATGCTCGCGCGAGGGTAAGGGATAGAGGTTCCCAGAGGGGCAGGTTTTTGAATCGGACATCGTGAATTGGCGTATGGCAGGATCCTGAGTCCTGGAAAGGGTTCGAGAATTCGGCGCCTGGATACTAGGTTAGGTATTGGGAGCTTGACACACATATCAGCGCCCTGAAGTAGTAGTACTAGTGGAAGGTGACGAGAAGGAGTTGGGAAGATGTAACCGGCCGCGGAACCGATGCAAGTTGTAGTCTCCGTGCCGGCCGAAGTAATCAATGCTTTCAGCACATAGCAATGGACTTGCCGCGTCAGGAGATGCAATTGTTGAAGTCCAAATAAGAAAGGCGAGACAGGAAGGATGGTACCGTTGTCGTCCCACCTTTGTTTTTGGAATACACTAGTGGCTGAGCCGCTAACTGTATCAGGTAACCTGGTCTGAGCTTATCCGGACGTCGCATCATTCGCTCTTTGGCCTCCTGCTCCAAACAACTGTGCCTCCGGATTATCTTTAATGGAAAACAAATCGCCCGACTCTAGAAAATTGAACACGTATTCCCTAAAGCCGGGTTCCATGATCACACAAAGTTGGGGCGGCAGACGCCTCAATTGAATTTCTCTACAACCCGTCCATTGTTGCCACTTCGAGCCAAGCCGAAACTTCTCTTCTTCTCAACAGCTCGTCACCCACCCTTTGCATTCGACAAAGGATACCACATCAATTGGACTCGCCAACTCCAGTAGCAACTTAACTCTAACATACGCAGAACTGCCACCACTTATATGCCCAATCCCGGCGCCACATCGGATCACAAACACGCAGGACAGGCCGATAGCATCGCACCCGACATATCGGGCGCAGATACTAATGGCCGCCCGACCAGAACGAATGGACAGCATATCCGCCTCCCCGAGCAATTGAACCGGCCGCGTCTAGAGCAGGTTAGTTCCACTCATCGCAGTCTGAGCGAAGCTTTGAGAGCTGTGAGAAACAGGGAAGAGCAGGAAACATTGCTGGAGGATTATGAGGGGCCAGATCCGGAGGACGGAGGTGAGATCGGGCCCGGGGAGGTTTTCTTTCAGGATCCGTATGAGCATTTGCAGGTCTATTATACCATTCATCGGTGAGTCATCTCTGGTTAGGGGAGGCCGACCGTCAAGGAAAATGTGCTATTTTCCAACGGATGACACTGTGTTGAAATTGCTGAGATGTTGGCTGATGAATATGTAGAATCCGGAGGATTGTGCGAGCTAACATCGAAGACCCCTACACAATGGACCAGCTGCGGGAACCACGACTCAACGTCCTTGTTGTGAAGCCTCTAGTGGACCGGCTATATAACGAGGACGATGTCTCGGTCGGTGCGTTGTTACTTTGTTCAGCCATCGAGCTATGCGAGCTAAAAGCACCTGCCAGTGTATTGCCTCCTCGTCAACCGTTTCCAGTTTTTGCGCGAGCAGCACTTCCAACACCATCAAACAGTAAACCTTACTCGAGCAAATCTCTGCGAACTGGTGGCCATGAAGATGCTACGCCGATATGATGAGGAGAGCTCCGGGCGGCTAGGTCTCTTGCTGCTCGCCAATATCTTGGTTGCCCCCTTTCAGCCTTTCCAGAATGCCCCTACTCAAGTCTGCCCGGAGCGCCGCACTTCTCGCTACCAAATGCAGGGCGGTTATGAGGGCAAGCTGACCGCTCTGGAAGTTGCCATCATCTCGGAGAGTAAAGTCTTCCTTAGTAGTTCGGCTTGCGTGAGGGTTATTGACGCGGTATATCAAGGGAGAATAATCTACACGGTGAGCTCCGCAATGGCAGCTAGAGATTCGTCTGCTGACGCTGAGCGATAGCCCACCGCCTTCATGGACATTATCCCAGACCATTACAAGCACAAAGCGATTTCACTCTACGACCCCCGCAAGGCGCCATTGCTGAACCAGTACCGGCTTTGTGTGCCTCGTATACGTAGTATCATCGAAGTGGTTCAGTTCATCGTACTTCTTGTACTGTACTCCTTCTGTATGATGAACCGCTCTGGAGCATCATTCGATATTTCAGAGTGTCTGTTCCTTATTTACGGCTCAGGCTGGGTTCTGGACGAGTGTGCGGCAATGCTGGGCCATGGTTGGGCTGTGCATGTGAGTACTATGCGGCATCCCCGAATTGTCAGACCGCTAATTTTTAGACTCAAAACCTGTGGTCATTCCTTGACATCACCTTCGTGGGTATATACCTGGCATATCTGGCTTTGAGGATCCGCGGCTGGGTCACGGGGGACCCCGAACTAGGCCGACAAGCTCTCGACGTACTCGCAATCGCGGCACCCGTCCTCTTTCCCCGGCTGGCCTTCAATCTGATGCCAGAGAATATGCTCTTCATCTCCCTACGAGCTATGATGAAGGAATTCACTGCCCTGAGCCTCATCGCAGTATGGTGCTTTGGCGGTTTCCTCGTCTCGCTGAAGTGGCTCTCGATGGGCAACACCGACACCGACCTGTGGGACCCGCCCACCCCTATCAGTATCTCCAAATGGATGCTGTGGATCTGGTTCGGCCTCGATGGCACCGGCATCGACGAAGCGCCCAAATTCCACCAGATCCTAGGCCCCAGTCTGATGATCGTATACGCATTCCTCGGCAACACGCTCTTCCTCACAGTCCTCGTTTCCATCCTCTCCAACACGTTTTCCAAAATCGCCGCAGATGCAATGGCAGAGATCCAGTTCCGCCGTGCGGTCCTCACTTTCGAAGGCGTCAAGTCCGATGCCCTCTTTTCCTACAGGCCGCCTCTCAATGTCCTCGCCGTCTTGCTTCTACCCCCCCTCAAATTCATCCTCGATCCTCGCTGGTTCCACAAACTCAACGTGATGCTCGTGCGTATCCACAACGCCCCACTCCTTCTCCTCGTCTCATGGTACGAGCGGCGTTACCTGTGGAAGTCGAAGCGCAACAATGCGCAAGCGCAATGTCCAGCAGAGCGGTCAAAGTGGAATTTTTGGCGTTGGAGTGGCTTCTCCGTGCATGCGGATTTGCAAGCGGTGTTTGACGAGGAGCCACCGCCCGAGGTGGCGAGTAAAATTGAGGAAGAGGATGACTTGGAGGATGCAGTTTTGGAGAACAGCTTTGCGGGTGCGGCACTGCGGAGTATCAGTCCGGGGAGGACAATGAGGCGAAGGAGGTTGAGTAGCGTTTGGCAGGGGTGAGGTATATGCGCACCGGAGATATTTCAGCTGTTCCGTACTTGTACTGTAGAAAAGTCATTGTGCTGACTTTAGACTTTCGGAGGACTCCGTCCCTGTACAGCATTTAGACACAGAAAAAAAAGCGGTGCCGTGGACTTAGCAATGGGTATTTCATTCTGTACAATATTCCAAGCAGGTTGAAACTGCCCTATCACTCACTAGAAGGTATTGACAAAGTTCGGGTTTCCACGCTAGAGTAGCACAGCACTTCCTGCCTCAACCATACAATCGGCCTCTTCGTTCCTTCCTCTTTCTCTCCTTCCGCGGACTTGCTGGCCTATATCCCGCCCTGCCTCCCCAACTTCAGCCCTCCTAACACTGCCACTCCAAATCCTTCATCTTCTACCTAGCCCCGGCCTGCCCTCTCATGCGCCCACAGCCTCGACCACCTGTCCATCCACCCCCTCTTCACGGAGTTCCTCCTTTTGCCAATCGGCTCCGGCGCCACAGGTGTCGCTGCCGCGGTGATCGTCGTCGTGATTGTACTTTTAGGCAGGACGAGAGCCATTGCCGCTTTTTCGATGTCGGACTCCGTGGAGGACGTATGCTGGTGGCCGGTGTCTGGCGAGATTGGGGGGATGTGGATGCTTGGTTTTGATTTGTGCGAGCGTATTCGTGGGGTAGTGTTTGTTGTCTCGGGAGAGGGATGGGATTCGGTGGATTGAGGTTGTGGAGAAGATGTGGTTGGGTTGGATGGAGGTGGTTGGATTGGAGTTGACGCTGAATTCGGCGGCTGTGTACATTGCAGACTTCCAATTTGCGTGCTCCGGTCTGGTGACATTTCAGGTACAGATTCCTTTGCGGACGCTTTCTCCTCGGCTAGGAGCGATGTTGCTGTGCCTGACTGGATACCTTTGTCCACCTCGCATGGTGAGAGTCCGACCTGTAAGGATTTTATGTGCTCATCCAAAGCTTTCTCTGACATCGTAGGGTGCGCCTCTAGTATCGGCGTCGAGAGCCTCGGGATCGACTTGGGCGAAGTGGCACCATTTGCCTTATTCGCAACCAGCGTCATTGTCGTCGATGACGTTCGGCCCGCGGGGTTCGAGGAACTCCACCTTCTGATCATCTTTTTCACTTTGTGTCTTGCATTGCCGTGTTCCTGGGCTCTTATCGCGTCTGAATCTCTGAGAACCATGTCGTCCCTGGACGTGGCCGTTGCTGGATGCCCTTTTGATTCTTAAGGGTTGTCTCCTTTTCCCTACCACCCAATTGCGACGTATCAAAAAGCCAACCCTTGGAATCGATCAAGCCGTAACTCAATCAGTGAATGAATATGAAGCTCCGTCAAGGCTTGATGAAACTTGAGCACAGCAGACGACCCAAAATGGAGCCAAACCCGGCACACAGGAGCAAACCCCATCTCCTAAGTACCCTATTCATGTACTCTCCACCACCAAGCCCCCCAAACGCTACCCACGGTCCCACGCCCGCACGACTAGTAGACTAATTCACCACCCGCACTGGTGCCTGATATTATTGCTCCCAAGCTTTTTGGTTGAATCCCCTCCGTGTCCGCGCATTGCGAGTCCGACTCGCGACTTCCACGCACCTTGTCTTACTTACCTATCACGATTCCACCTTCTCCCGCTCCCAACTCAATTCCCCGCTTCGAAAAACGCCTCCGCACACGCAGACCAGGATGAACCGCGCATCGACTGACTTTCATCTTGTCGTGCTTCTCGAAGGCGTGGGCGTGGCGCGGCTGGGCAATACTTTTAGGGGTGCACGGTTCAGGGTCGAGCGCACCACAGTCTGGTGGCGGATGGGAGAGTCAGGAGTTAGCAAGAATCAACCCTTAAAACTTAAAATCGGCGCCCATATTGTGACACCAAAAGTAATGTCGAACACAAACATGCGCATAGCGGTGCGCGACATGCTCATATCGTTGCATGGGCTCGAAGATCACGGAAACCCAACATCTGGTTCCAGTCAAGTTTGCTAACCCTTGATACGAGTCAAGGACCTCTCCTTTCCAACTAGCCCTCCACATCCTCTGTATCCGTTTTCTCTACATGCTGCATTTTTTGCCATGATGCATATATGTCTCATACAAGGGCGCTCGCTGAACAACCATGCCATGCAGAAAACCAAAGCTATCAATCATCCAGAACAGCAGTCGCTTGTACTACGTCAGGCTGGGCCACAGGCTATTAACCCTGAAACCCCAGAGCCTCCAACTCCTTACGAATCGAGTCCTCGGTGGCAATCTTCTTGACCTGGGTATCCTCCAGCTTCTCACCACCAGCCTGCCGCATCTTCAAATCCTCAATGGCCCGTATCTTCTTCAAAAGACTTCTAACTTTCTTGTCCTGAGGACCACCGGCGCCAGGGCTCGTCACAGTGACATCAGGCGGAGCCTGGTTCTGCGTCTGAATATTAGCCGGCGCAGGTGCAGCCTGACCGGCCCTGGGATGCTGCTGGTGATGATGGCCAGATCCACCCCGGTGATGGTGTTGCTGAAATTGGTGTCCCTGGTCTCCAGATCCAGATCCAGGGCGCCCAGGAGAGGTACCGGTGAAGTTACGGCGCTGGCTAGCACTTCGAGGTTTATCTTGGCCACTGAAGCCACCATTCCGACTCCTGCTGCGGTTGTGACCGTCGCGTCGCTCAGGGCTTCGACCTGCCGGTCCGCTGGGTGGATTAATGCCATCGGCGGCTAAGCCGGCTGCCTTCTCAGCTGCCTCCTTGGCCTTCTTAGCCTCCCGCTTCTTCTTGTTCTTCAGAGCTGCCTTGGACAGTCCCTCATCACCTTCTCCAGTCCCCGTCAGACTGACACCTCCACCTGGAGCGGCACCGGGGGGATGATGTTCCACGGGTTCGGCGCCGGGGACCTGACGGCGAGGCCTGCCAAAGGAGTTTCCGTTCCCATATGCCGTGCTCGTGGACGAGATGCCAGCGTTGATGATTGGATTGCCGCCCTCGTCTTCGCGCTTGAAGTGAAGAGGAGTGGCAGTTCCACGGGCACCTGGTGGCCGATATGCGCCTGCAGGTTTCGAGGGAGTCTTAATCGTACTCAGGTATGCAAGAGCGGAGGGATGTGGGGTCGGAACGGGATGCAGGGGGTTCTCAAGGGGGTGTTGCAGTGTCGACAGCGGGCGCCAAGTAACATGGTACAGCTCCGTCATATCCTCGTTGTACATAAGACCACCGCCTACGTGCCAGATACGTATTCCATTATCGACCCGTAGGCGGGGGCTTTGAGTAGCGGTCAGAATATGCTTGCCATCCGGACTCCATTCGCAGTGAGTGCAATTGGAAGCCTGGATGGTGCACACTTTGGTATAATTCTTTTCAAGATCGTAGATGTCCATATGGCCAGCCAAATTTCCAAAGCCTGCTACAAGTACGAACCGACCGTGGGGAGAGAAGAGGATGGTATTCCGAGGACCAAGATCGAAGCTGTGCTGGGGGATCGCGCGAGCATTGAAAATGGTCGTCTTAGCAGGCATATAACCATAGACCACGCCGAATTCCTTCGAATTCGGTGACCAGGCCACATCGTGAATTGGTCCCTGTTTATCTAACCATAGGTCAGCACGACTTGGACAGAGCTCAGAGAGTCTGCATCACCCACCCAGGTCGATCCTCGAATCGAAAGTGCCATTCGCACTAAGGATATACAGATTGGTCTCGCCATAGTAGCTCATATTTGACTTATCGACTTCGGTTTGTGCGAGAGCAATCAGGCTCGTACCCAAGGCATTCCATTTCAATTGCACCTTGTCCGCTTTGTAGAAGGTCTTCTGCGAAACAGGGGAGTTGAATTGAGGGACCTGGTAGACTTTGACGGCAGCGGGCATGCCCTGTTTGGAGCGTGTCAGTTGAGTACTTCTCCACGGGAACGTTTACCAACCTTCTTCTCCGGCATAAAAACAGCAACTGAATGGTTCTTTCCCGGGGAAAGCGCAAAGTCAGCCACTCCCTCGACACGGAGCTTATTCCAAACAGTTCCCAAATCTCCGGACTGGTAGAACTGGACTTCGTTTGTGACGAGACGTGCGCAGAACTTCTCATCCGCAGTGTATTGCAGATTCCAGCCGGTCTGATTCTTCTGTACGAACTGCCCAACGACGCTCCTATTCTCGTCGGTCTCATCCTCCCCCGCGATGGTCCGCCAGACTTTCAGGTTCTTTGTCGCGTTTCCATCTTCGTCCTTCGAAGGGCGCTGCCAAGTTATGATATAGGTTCCCAGAGGAGAGAAGCCCAACTCAAAGACATTCGGGGTAGGCAAAGTAGTGATGATGTGGCCGACGGAGGCATCAATAACCGAAACCTGTTCGGGAGATGCCCAAGCAAAGTACCTGCCATCGGAAGAGTAACAACAGCATCGGAGGTTGCCCTCGGGACTGTAACATGTATTAGCATCGATCTGGAGTTGATGTGGTGCAGGGGTTATACCGCTGGAAACCAGGCAGCGGCTCATAGAGCGGTGCCGCATTCAAAACCCCAATACCCTTGGATGTGCGGTCTGAAGAGAGCGGTTAGTATAGTGAATGCAACGGCCTTTCAAAACGATACTAACAAGCGAGTTGCGTAGGAACTGCCATGACTAGTCAAAGTCACAGAAAGTTCCGCGAGGTGGTCTAGAGGGTGCAATCGCTGAGCGAACAAGTGCGCGAGTAAGCTTCAACCTGTTGTTCAATTGGCGATGCCTCTACTCTGCGCGGCGTAGTGTACCCGTCGGGGCGATGACGTATCTATAGGGCTTGCCACACAGGTTCCCCAGGGTGAACTCGAAGCAGCGCGCGCAGCTGAGTATGGAAGCCGGGCGGAGGGACGCAGGCACACGACGGGCGGGGTTGATCAAGAGCCGTGTTCAAGGAAGACTGTGAATGCGGGAGTCAGCGCCCAAATAAAAGACCATGAAGGCTGGGCGATGGCGCGCTGGCCTCGGCTCGGAGAATCCATTCTCCGTGTGAGGCGTTCCGCGCTATTATCCCATTTCGCAGTGGAATGTTAACTTGGGAAATTCAACTTTCTGATGGTAATCCATATCACCATCTAAAGACCCTAGAATTAGGACAGGATCCTTATATTATCCATTATTTCTATGGAGAATCTCTATGGAAACATCCACAACATATGTACTTTTCAAACATCAAAAAACATCTCCTTAAGGATACGCACTACCTTCCTCCACCTTCTTCAACGGACCACCCGGCGACCCCGAACTCTCGTTCTCACTCCCCAGCCCGCTTTTGCCCTCCACGAGTCTTCGCTTAACGATATCCAGACTCCTCCTAATCTCCATACTCTTCTTCCTCTTTCCCGCGTCATCATTATCCTCGCGCTCACTCTCACTCTCCCGCTCCTTCTTCTTTTCGACCTTGTGCATCGCCCTCTCGGTCAACTCTTGCCGGTTCATCCGCTCTATGACGTCCTTCTTACGGGTTTTGTGGTCGCCAATGGTAATGAGGAGACCGGCCGTGGCGTTGCATGCGATGGACAGGCAAAGGATGACTGTGGTGATCGCGAAATGGCGGTCCTTGTAGTAAATGCCCCACGTAGTCGCCCCTAGCGAGATCTGAAGAAGGGAATGGCAGTCCAGGAGGACGACGATGGCGATGAGGAAGCGGAGAGGAAAGGCGTAATGGGTCTCTGTTTCGTGAGGCTGGTAAAACGAATGAGAACTGGAGAACTTGGCTTGGTGGTGCTCCAGTCTTGCTTGTTGCTTGGGCGTCAGGACTGTGAACTCCCATTGTTTCTCTGGGTCTTCCGGATCGGGATTCATTGGTCCAGAGACGGGAGCATTCCGCGAGGGAAGATCATTGCGGTCGTGAAGTTTAGGTAGCCGGTCTTTTTTCCGGCGGCTCCAGGTATAGTGATGATAATGTGCGATGTAAATCATATGATACGTGTCGACAGCGCGGAAGGGTGCAAGGCCATAGCCGACGACGCCAAAGAGAGCGACGAGGACGCTGTCGATGACGTGCACAACGTAGATCTGGCGACCGCCAACATTGATCCAACCGATCAGGAAGAGCACCCAGGCTAGACCGAATAACGTGATCAAGGAGGCATACAATGTGACCAAGAAACCCAAGGCTACGCACATGTTAGTTAGGCCAGAGAGAATTGGGTCGTGTGACGTACGTCTCCGGACATATTGACCAAATCCCCTCATAGCACGTTTGAACTTCGATCTTCTGGAATGCAACATATGTCTAACGTGGTCGTTCAACTCGGCCTTGTCTTCCCTGCTCCAGCCAGCTAGTGAGGCACCATGTGGCAAAACGGCAAAACGGGATTCGCTTAGTTGTGAGTCAATGGTAGCGACAGTGGCCAGCGTAGCTTCCGACCGCGTCCTGTGTAGTTTACCTTCAGGTGGTTCTTGCGTTTCAGCCCTTTGAAGTGCCTCTTGCTCTGCTTGTGTCCGTCTCGCCGGCTCAAGAACGGCATTGATCTCCTCCAGGCTTTGCCTTTCACTGCGCGTCGGCCGCAGTACATATGTTGGTCGTCGATTTACCCAATTACCCAGATTGGGTACGAAGAGGGAGTTTTGTACGTTAGTGAGAGAGGTGATAGCTTGGACTTCGGGATCTGAAGGGGTTAGTGCTCAATACTGAGGTCGTACATGAAACGTGACATACCCAGGGTATCCAACACATCTACCATGCTGGCACTATACTCCCTGCCATAGGGTTGAGCAGCTGTAGGAGTAGTGGGCCTGGTAATACCATCCTCTCCCTGATTTGTCTTTGTGAGGCCGAGTTTCGACTGGATCGCCATTGAAGCTTTTTTCAGCCTGCTCGGTTGTCCTCCGTCTGATTGCCTTGATCCCTCCGATGAGATAGATGGTGCAGGATCCGTCGCATTCGTCGGTTGGTGCTCGAGAGCGCACGTTTCGTCAAGCACAGGTAGTCGTGAAGCCGTCCGGTTCAAGGGGGTGGATGTACCGGTAGGGTTCGCTGAGGTAGTACGTGAAGGACCGGGTGATGGACATCGTCTTAGCCCGACACTCGGCTGGCGGTAACTCATCATGGGTCGGTTTGGTTGTGACGATGAGGATGTCGATCGCTGAGGGGCAGAGTTGCTGCGTGGGCGACCGACAGCTCGTAGTTGCGGGGTTGAAGCATCTTGAGCGGTTCTGTTGTATAGCTGTCAGTTGCGTCTTCGCGGAATTAAGGAGGGATTCAAGGTACCTGGAGGCCGTTGAGGCGCTACCTCTTCGCGGGGGTACTGGGACAGGTTCTCCAGCGTCGACCGATGACTCCAGCGATGTAGGTGGCTCACACCTGGATTGCTCCGTTGGCGGGTGCTGTGGAGCAGCAAAATCCTTCGCAGAGGTCCCGGTCAGCGGTCTTGGGACGGCATCATTGACCGTCGTGTTCGCATTGTCCTCTTGTGGAGGTGTCGAATGGGTTGGGGGTAGCGACGAAGTGCCAGTCCCTCGCGAGGTGTGCTCCACCAGTCGATTACGGGCCGACGAGGCCTTCGCTTTCAGTTTATCCATGCGTCAACGAAGGGAGCAGAGCGCGAGCAACAGCGCAGACGCGCGCCGCGAAAGAATGGGGGGGTTGGTCGAACAACCTTCCACAGTACCTTGAAAGTTGTCCGCTTGGGGAATGCTCGGCGATGACCTCACACCAAGACTGGGCGCGCGCTGCTTACCAATGGCAAGCGCAGACAAGAATTGCACAATTGCACAAGAGCGTAGTGGCGTTTGCGATACAAAGGGAAAAGGCTTTGGATGCCCTCATCAGATCTTCTTGAATCCACAGTACGAAAAAAGCATCCGTCGAGTGCCTAGGGGGCAAGGCCTGCGCGGATCCTCTCGCTGATTGCAGAGTCACCTTCTGGATTCCGACCCTTGCGCGAATGCCTACGCCGGGGCCATACTCCGTGCTCAGAGTACATAGTAGATCTCCCGCTCAACCGAACTGCCCTGGATCGATCAGTATTAACGATTCCTTTCATCTACACTTTCGCCTACCTATGTTCTCCCAAAGACCTCAAGGACGAAGTAGGAAGCGAGAAATTTAGGATCAGCAGTCAATGGACGACCGACAAGATACGTGTGCGAAAAGCCAATGTCTGCCGCACATCTATATTATCTACATATCAGATGTATCTGGAAGCATTTGATCCTACAACATCCTCGTCGGCTAGTAGGTTCCCACTTCGACCAAAGCCCTGCCATCCGCTAGACTAGCTGAACACCTACTTTCCCCCGCTGTGACCGTCGGCATACGTGTGTGATGGAGTGAACGGCACAGACTGCTTGATATCGAATCAAGATAGCGTATAACCCTTGGGAGAATACATTGGACGAGACTGCCCTCACTGAGATATCTATGGCACGGCCTTCCCCGCCCTCAACGCCTTCGCCAGCTGACTCTGCGCCTTATCATCCGCATACCGCTGATAGACGGGCAAGTAATGCTCCCTCTCACTCATCGTCTCCTTGACACTCCTCCTCTCCTTCACAGCCTCCACCCACTTCCTCCACCTCTCCCAAACCTCTTCATCCTCGCCTCCCTTTCCCTTGTCCGGGACTCCCAAACCCCCCTTCTTGAAATGATCAAAGGCCCAGAACCGCATCGCCCAGGGTGCCAACATAACATCCACAGCTCCAAAATCCCTTCCCAGGAAAAACGGACCCTCCGGATCCATGGCTTTAGCAATCTCCTTCAAATGCCCCAGAAACTCTTCCCTCTGCTCCTCTAGCAGCTTCTCATCCTGCGCACCCAGGAATCGCACAAAGCCCGGCACAATCCTCGTGGTAATGAAGTCCGTCCAAACCCTCACCTTCCACCTCAGATACGGATCCTCGGGCATCAGCTTCGGACTGTGGTGTGGATAAGCCTCTTCGAGAAACTGGATGAGCACACTGCTCTCGTACACCGGCTTGTCCTTCCATTTCAGCGTGGGTACGAGACCCCGGGGGTTGAGGTCGAGGAGGGATTTGGGTTTGTGGTAGGGGTTTACTTCAATGTATTGGTATTGGATGCCTTTTTCCTCGAGGGCGATCCACACGCGTTGGGCAAAGGGACAGAACCAGCCGCTGTAGAATTGGAGGTCGCAGGGGGCGAAATGGGCCTGGGAATTCGTGAGTGCTTGTTGGGGCAAGGGAATAGAATTGGACTGACGGACCTTGGCTGTGGCTTTGGCTGGGCCAGTGGCTTCAGGGTGAATGTTTGCGTCCGGGTGGTTGTTGCTCATTGCTTCTGTTACGCTGTAGCTGGAGTGACGGGAGTGTCTATCACGGAACAGAAAGCGAGGAGTAGCAAAGCTGTTAAGAGGTTAAACACCGCAGAGAGTGCATTTAAACTCCGGGTCGTGACCTAAAGCATTGTATCACAAAACTACGACTCGATGACGCAATTAGGGAAACGGTACACAGTTCATAGTGCAAAATGATTGATAGCACCACCGCCACGGATAGCCTAGCAGATCGAGACCCCACCCTAGCACCTACCCCAGACGGAGAGTTTCACGCCTCCTCCCCAAGCAAGTTAGCGCTCCCGTCCTCCCGCCGCTCTTTCATGAGCGCGAGGAGCAACCGTTGCAATACCAGGATCTAGGTCCGAGCTGCATGTCCCAAAAATATCGCGAGGAATACATATGTACATAGTAGTACAATGATGATTAAAGGAAGTCTTGCAAAGTCTTTACACAGGCCTGGTAGAGATGTGGCACCGTACAAGTAGAACCATGAATTGATTACGACATCCCTTTGACGTCATCTGGGCGGAGCGATGGGCATGAGTGAGTAAGCGTCCACGTCTTCCCAGCACCACATCCAGACCCCGCAGAAAAAGGTGCTCGCTAATGCAATCATGAGTAATAATAGAAGAACCGCCCGCTGGTAGACCATATCTCGCCAGCGGCACGCTGGCGATTCCCTAAACATCACGCCCTTGGTCTCCCACATCCCAGGAAGAAAGCAGCTCAACAACATGCGCGCCATCACACGCCCCGCAAAAGACAAACCCCCACGACTCGACTCCTCACATCCCGTTCCGCAGCCCTCACCAACTGCATACCTCGTCTCCACAAAGGCCACCGCCTTGACACGCGGCGAACTCACATGGCCAGAGCCACTCGAGCCAGAGATACCGATCCCCGGCTATGACTTGGCCGGCTATATCCAGCAACTACCCTCCGAGTCTCCAACCCCGTCCCGATTCAAAACCAATGACGAAATCTACGCATTAACGGCCTTCCACCGACAGGGCAACGCCCGTGAAGTATCGTTGGCACTAGAGGAAGAGATGGCTCTGAAGCCGAGGAACATGAGCTTCGAAGAGGCTGCGACGGTTCCGTTGAGTGCGCTGAGTGCGTGGCAGGCATTGTTCGTGCATGGGAAGCTGGAAGCGAATTTCACTGATCGAGAAACGTTGGAGCGGTCTACGATGGGGAAGAGGAGGGTGCTTGTTACTGCTGCTTCTGGCGGGGTGGGTATCTGGGGAGTGCAGTTGGCGCACCAAGCCGGTGCTCAGGTGGTAGGGACTTCTGGGCCTACCAATGTGGACTTTGTCAAGAGCTTGGGAGCAGACATGGTGTTGGATTACACCAAGACGGATATCGCGGATTGGGTCAACGAAGACCGAGAGAGTCGTTGCTTTGACATCGTCCTCGACTGTGTAGGTGGGGAAACGCTCGTGAGTGCATGGAAATGCGCCCGAAAGGGAGGAACAGTGATTAGCGTCGCTGAGCCTCCGGTGCCAAAGAAGCCTGCCACTGGAGTGGAAGAAGGGGTTGAGGGCGTTTGGTTCATCGTGTCCCCCAACGGCGCGCAGCTTGCTCGGATAACGCAATTGATTGAAGAAGGGAGGTGCAAGGGTTGTGTCGATAATGTTTACAAGCTAGAGCAGTGGGAGGAGGCGTTTGATAGGGTCGAGGGAGGGCATGCCCGAGGAAAGGTAGTTCTACAGTTGTAGAGGGAGGGCATTGTATTTCGGCGTCAGTCGTATACAGTCACAAACCAGCCAAACCGTCCGTATGAGGGGTGAGCAGAAAAGTCGATTGGAAGCAGCAGAATCATACAATTACCCCTTGGCGGCAACGATAACCGCAAAGCCAGAGTGGAAGTTACACAGTATCACAGGAGAAGCTGCGTCCGACCAAGAATGCCAGAAATGCACATGAATCTCGCCGTTTTCTCGGCTCGCGCGCCTTTTCAGAGAACGCACCTCATCCCGTGGTCTTGCTGACGAATCCACAACAGATAACTATCACCGTAATATCCGAGGTCAGGTTTTGAAAGCGGACATTCTTGACAAGCAAACCCCGTCGAAAAAAAAAAATGTGTCCCCGATTTTCAGGCTGGAAAACAAGACTTCACGCGCCAGTGGGTGGGTCGACATATGACTCTAGTACAAGTACCTTGGAGGTAGGTACTGTGGACTTTGGGATACCTAGGTAGGGCGGAACGCGTGCTCGGAAGCGAGCGGGTTCACACGAGCTGCTGCATGCTCGGATAAATAGTTGGCTAGGGTATTGAGCGGGCCGGAAGCGACCCGACCGGGCTCTGAGGTGCATGCATCTCGATGAGTTGAACGTGAAGCTCCACGGACGAAACCGCCGTCCGCCATTATTATTGATGGAAGCAACATGGGTGCTCAGCAATCATAAGTGAGCAGTGTTGGCAGTCTTGTGTTGCAGTTTGGCAGGTGATGAGTGGTCCTCCGCAGCAATAACGAGCCTTGGCGAGGACGGCTTCCAGTAGAAAAGGGCGCGAAGGCGGAAAAGAGGTGCCGGGTTTGGTTTGGGAGTTTCCTGCAAAGAGACACATGCAAGCGCCAGAAACCCTTGCTCTAGGTGATGTGATTCAAAGATGAGTCAAAGTCTAATAATCTTGTGACGGTGAGAGACTTTGTACCTACATGGTCATTGTACTACTACTTGTCTTTGCACTGGTACGGAATACGAGAAGCAGTGCTCCGTTCGCAGGCTCGTACGAGGCGCGGAGCCACATTGCTGCGGCGCTTGGAGGGAGTTATTTAACGGTACCTCTGCACGACCTCGCACGAGGGGTCAAGTGGTTGGGGATTCCAGTCTGATGTCATGGAGGAGGGACACCCTGCGCACCCTGCGCAGAGTCTCTTTGAGATCTTGTTGACCGTTTGTTGGAATGCTGTTCTCTCGAAGCCCTTATGGCGTAGATGCACAGTACATCCGTACTCCGTGTTTTCTCTGTACAAGTATACACAGGATGAAGAGCACAAGACCGGAAGCTGGCTGGTTCCGAAGCGAGGGGAGGGAGCCCTTTCTCGGGAGGGCTGCAGAGGCACAATTGCCAAGGCGCTAAACAAAAGCTTAGCTAGCCCGCTTCTGTGACGATCGACGATCGCTGATGCTGTCACCTGTTGTGAGGTCAGATGGGTTCCGGAACCTCTTTTTGCGGTCAAACGACTCATCGACGGTTCCGGACAACGACGACGGAGACAACAGGCCCCCTTGGCGGACAAGGCAACAAAGGTCAGCAACATCACGCCACGCCTCCAAGAAAATAGCGCTCAAAAGGGCTCTCAGCATACCACAGCGTGTGAGGCCCCTGCTGCCTATCACAGGACACAGTACTACTTGTCTGACAGCAGGCGGTGCTCTCAGTGCCGCATGTTGCGACACCATGGATTACCTATCGTGCTAACTTTTCTACTCACAGCAACGTGCGCAAATCCATCGGCACACGGTTGGTTGGTTGCGCCGACGAACGTGGTGAAAATGCGATACAATCCGATGTCCGATATCAGAAATAGCGACCAGGGTTACTGCCGTCGTGGGGTTGCGGAAAGCTCGGAAGGCAAACTACCGCTAGCGCCGACGCCCCGTTTTCCTTTCCTTTCCCAGCGGTATCCTCCCAGCCTTCTACCTACTCGGAGTAGGCCTGCTCAAAGGGGAGCTTCGGAAGAGCTCGCTCAACTTCCATGGATGACAAACGGGCGAGCTTCCGCCGAATACCTTAATAATGGCCCTGCTCTCTCAAGTTCAATGATTCGTCACACGTACTTGTATAATGCGGAGCAGCCCCCCCAGCTGCTGCACCTGTCTCTGCTAAGCTCCCTGCATCGCCCGCCTGGCTCATCCTTTGTCACCGCCCATTCGCCGTCTTCAGAGCTCCAGCCGTCGCGTCGGTGCTCCGTCTTATATCCGCTGGAGCTTGGGACCCCGCCTCCGTCATAATAAGACGCAGACGCCGTGTCCCTACTCTGTCTGGTCTCCTCTGTGATCCTCCGAGAGCTCCCTCTCACCTAGAAACGGTGGTATTACGACTCTTACCAACCATTTCCGGCTTGACACATTAGTATACATGCTGCGAAAGGCTGTGGTGCTTCTTGCAACTGCAGCGCTCCTGCTAGAGGCACTCCCTCTGGTAGCCGCTCATGGCGACGGCCATGGCAGCGAGTCCGGACATGGCGAAATGGACATGCACGATGCGCCTAACCCGCAGCCTCCCAGTAGCGACGCGCCTCAAAGCTATTGGAGTCTTTCCGAGCATGCCGGACTCATGTACATGCACATCGCGCTGTCGGTCGTGGCCTGGTTCTTCGTCTTACCTGTCGGTATGTCGTCGAGTCTCAGACCCAAGCGCGGGAGTGTGATGCGCTGACTCGTTCAGGTGTGATGCTGAGTGTAGCACGCTCTCGGTTTGCGCTTCTTGTGCAGTTTGCTTTTCTCGCCCTCAACGGTTTCGCCTTGCTTCTCGGCGTCGTCTATAGTCGCAAAACCCCAGATCTGTACGAGAACAACTCGCATACCAAGATTGGTTGGATCTTCACCTGGGTCGCCTCCGCCTGGCTCCTCCTGGCGATTGTAGAGCGCTATGCTGGTCGTAGCAGAGCTTCTGCAATCGATTTCGAGGCCAGGCAGCCCATGACTGCTGCAAACATGGCCCAATACGAGCGCGTCCAAAACACCGAGGCCCCCAATCCTCACCGATTCTCCATTGATTCCGGCCAAGGTACTGAGCCCAATTCGGCGTCGCTGTTTGGCCATTCGAGGTCACCCAGCTGCGAGTCCGAGGATCAGCAGTTCCTGGGACCCACGCGTCGATACACCGAAGACGACGAAGCTTATGATGCTGAATCCGAGAAGCGTGGCATTCTGCAGGGCACTGCCGTCGACCGCTTTCTGTCTCGCAACGTTGCCCGTTATGTTTCTGGGCGCGTCTTGAGGTTCATCCGATTCACCTACGTGGTCATCGAGCGCACCATCCTGCTGATGGGTCTAGTTGCTCTGCTGACTGGTACCGTGGTGTACGGTGGCATTGGCGTAAGTCCGTCCTTTTACAATGCAACAGTCGTGGATGCTGACAGGTAGCCCAGCGTGGGAATGGAGTGTTCAACGTGCTCGCGCATTTCATCAAAGGCGGTATTTTCTTCGTATACGGCCTCCTGACTCTGGGTCGCTGGATGGGCGCCTTTGCAGACTGGGGTTGGGCATGGAACGTCAAGCCCCCCAAGGAGGTAGTTGGTCGTCGGAGCGCGGCCATACCTTCGGCCGAGTTCACCGAATCCTTCGTCATCTTCCTGTACGGCTCCATCAATGTCTTCCTGGAGCATCTGGCGGCCTGGGGCGATGCATGGGCTCCGCAGGATTTGGAGCACGTGTCCATCTCGGTGTTGTTCTTTGGTGGTGGCCTGGTGAGTGTTGCTTCACGGCGGTTCCCCCTTTCGACCCCGCGTCACTGACATAAGCGAATGCAGCTCGGCATGATCGTCGAATCGCGCAGGATGCGAGACTTGCTCAACACTTCGGTGCTTGTCTCGAAGCCGGCGTCGCAGTATGACGACGATCGATGGCAGCAACCACGACAATACGGCTTCTCCATGAACCCGATGCCGGCCTTGGTCATCCTCCTCCTGGGCAAGATGATGAGCTCGCATCACCAGGCTTCCATGCTGTCGACCATGATCCACACGCAATGGGGCAGCATGTTCATGGGCTTCTCCCTTGCGCGCGCCTTCACCTACATCATCATGTACATCCGGCAACCGACGTCGTACCTGCCTTCTCGCCCGCCGACGGAAATCATCACGTCCTTCTGCTTGGTGGCTGGCGGCATCACCTTCATCGTCAGCAACAAGGACACGGTTGCTGCGCTCGAGTCGTACGGCCTTGATGCCATGTTCACCTTCACCGTGACCATGGGCCTGACAGCCATCCTTCTGGCGTGGGAGACGGTCCTCATCGCCATCAAAGGCTGGGCCGTACGCAAGGAAGCTTCGAGTACGTCGTCCAAGATTCGGAGCGGCGTCCTGGCATGAACTCGACGATCCGCTGGGTTCTCTCGGGCCTGCTGGCCTGGATGGTCGCCGGAAGGGAGAACCAATGTCCGGACGTCGACATCAGACGCGTGCGTCAATGTTGGTGTCCGGTTTGGTTTGCTGCCTCACGGCAGATTCGTGTTACGTTTCTTTACGCTCTTTGCTTCATTGATACCTCGTTTGGCATTAGCAGTGATACCCCACTTCTCCTATTGGATTACTGCATCTACGTCTTGTCTTGTGGGAAACGGAGGAATCTGGATTGAGGTAATGGAATGGAGCAGGGGGATTCTGGATTTGCGAGCGAATGAGCGAGCTGTAATGTGTCAATGATGGTGTATGAAGAGGTGAAGGCTTGAAAAGAAAATGGGAAATCTGAATCTGACATCTGGATTGGGTTTGTGTGGGATTTTGGACGGAAAAGGGATGACAGTTATGAGGAAAATGAAGCAATACCATCGTTATACCATAGTCGCTCTTTTATTGCTAGGATTTGTGAGCAATGATTGCCAGAGATGCATTCTCCCTTTGTGAGAACGGGAAAAGCCCCATCCAACTTGTCCCTCGTGTCAATCATGGCAGACCCATCCCAATCAGCTGCCCCTTCCCCTCCCTCTTCCCGTGCCTCTCGCAATCCCACTCCCTCTCGATGCACCCCTGGGCACGCCTCCCCTGGTAGGGATCCCGCCTGCCCTCCCCCCGGCCCTCGGGATCCCACCACCTCTCCCCCGCGCAACCTTGGATGCGGGAGCCGGCGTCTGCGGCGTCTGCGACTGCTGGTGCGAGAACTTGGACGTCGCGCGGCTGCTCGGCGGGTTCTCGACGAACGACGTGTCGGTTGTGAGGAACGTGGCTTCCACGTCCGGGACATTCGGGTCCTGGTTTTTCGACGGCGGGTGGGGGTGGGGTTGAGACGTCGAGGAGGTGGCTGGGCCGAGATGGGGGTTGTTCTGCGGGCGGGTGAAGGACTCTGGGATCGGTGCCTGGGAGAAGTTTTTGTAAGCCATTGCATTCGAATCTGGACGGTCTTGTGATATTTTAACGCACCTCTGGGAAATCGACACAAAAAGCATTCATATTCAACCCGTACAGGAACGCGGCGAAGCTCTCGCCGAAGCGCGCCAGGCTCTCGTGCATGACGTGCAGCTGCATGAAGTTGGCTTCCAGGTCGGCCATGGCGTCGCTCAGCTCGGCAAAGTCGTCTTGTAGTAGCTCGAGCGGGGTCGTGGTCGAGGCGGCGTAGGGTCCGCGGAGGCGCTGGGCGCTGCTGTCGCGGAGGGAGGCGCGGGAGGAGGGGCGGAGGGGGGTGGTTGGGCGGGAGCGTCGCGGGGATTTGGAGCGCGGGCGTTGGTGGTGGGAGGGGGTTGTGGTGGACATGTTTGGTGGTGGATGGTCGTTGTCGGTGAGGGGATGCGGCTGGTGAGGGGGAAGGCGTGGTTTAGCTTCGAGGACGCTTTTCGTCTGATTGTGTTTGTTTATCGATTGCAGTTCACGATGGTGTTGGTGGTGTTGAGGGACCGTGGGACAGCGGAGCTAAACCCGATGCAGTCAAGACTCGGAAAACAGCTTGCGAGTTCCTCACCACATCGTCATACTATATCTTTGCTTGTACACAGTACGGCCTCAACGGTATTTTCCTAAGCAGTTGGAAAGCAGGACTCATTCTCATCTGGCCTCAAGCTTCACGCTTCAGTCGTTGTTCAATCAACCGAATTCTGCGCCCCGTGATCTCCGTAGAAGCAATTCAACCAGGGTCCAGACACCATAACCCGCTTCACCCCTCCTTCGTCCGTCGGGCATGCGCCTCATCAGCCCTATCGCCGTCTAGCATCGACCCTATTCCAAAACCGCCGTCCATAAGCAGCTCCGCCCCATTCCTCACTGCTCATCACGCTCCTTCCCCTTTTCCTCCTCTATATGTTCGTTCCTTCCCCGACCGCCGTCAGAAGCAGCACAAGAGCAGCGTTTTCCGGTTCCTCTCGTATCTCGGGACTGTCCTCTATTCCGTTCCGAAGACACCTTGCGTCCCATCATCAGCGTCCACAATCGCTCGCGAGTTTCACGAACCCTTCAAAAGTTTTGAGAAGAGAGCAGTGCGCTCGCCGACGCACCTTCCATACTCGCATAGGACCACCGTCATTTTCTAATCCGAGAAAAAGCGCCTCTGGCTTCTTCACCGCAGTTGTCGTTTTCGGTATTGGGATCGGCACCGCGCTTGTCGTTTCGCTCCTTCCCCGCGACCACCCCTCTGAGGCATACGATATAGCAGCGCAGCGACACAGCTCCTCAAAACCATTCCACCCTTCACTCTATACTGACTCGTTCCTGGTCATGGCTCCGAATACGCCGCCGGGGAGACCCGGAACGCTCACCGTGGAGCAAGAGCTCAAACTGCGCGAGCTGTGGGCCGCGACAATGAAGGTGTTCGGCGTGTACGAAGCGCCTGGGGCGAATTCTGGGGATGCGAATACCACAGGGGGGGCTGAATCCCCTTCCGTTGCTGCCTCTTCGGACGCTGCGTCGGAGAAAGATGCGACTGGCAAGAAGGAGAAGAAGAAGAGCCGGCTAAACGTCTTCAAGAGGAAAGACAAGGGCGAGAAGAATGGCGCTACTTCGGACTCGGCACCCGCGTCCGGGACGTCTACGCTCCTGGAGAAAGACATCAGCGCAATGGCGATAGCGGACGAGGACGATAAACACGGGCAGACGAAGGCCTTCAAGCAGGCCATCGCTAACAGCTCGCCCGAGGAGATAAGGGACACGTTCTGGAGCATGGTGAAGCACGACCATCCCGACGGGCTACTGCTGCGGTTCCTGCGGGCGAGGAAGTGGGACGTCGAGAAGGCGCTGGTGATGATGATTTCGACGATGCATTGGCGGGCCGAGGAGATGCATGTGGATGATGATATCATGGCGAATGGCGAGCTACACGCTTTGCGACAGAGTCAGAGCGATGATCCCAAAGTGAAGAAGGAGGGGGAGGATTTTCTCGCCCAACTGCGCATGGGGAAGTCGTTCTTACACGGGCTGGACAAGGAGGGGAGGCCGATGTGTGTTGTGCGTGTGAGGTTGCATAGGGGTGGTGAGCAGAGCGAGGAGTCGATTGAGCGGTTTACGGTATACACCATTGAGACGGCGAGGATGTTCCTGAGGCCGCCGGTGGATACTGCTGTACGTCATATTCCCCCACACACGCGCCTTACTCCTTTATTCCCTCTCTGCGAAGGGTGTGAAGGGCTGAGCGGCTGACTCTCACAGACAATCCTTTTCGACATGACCTCCTTCAGCATGGCCAACATGGACTACGCGCCCCTCAAATTCATGATCAAATGCTTCGAGGCAAACTACCCCGAATCCCTAGGCACCGTGCTCGTCTACAAGGCGCCCTGGATCTTCAACACCATCTGGAACATGATCCGCGGCTGGCTCGACCCCGTCGTCGCCGGAAAAGTGCACTTTGTCAAATCGCCCGAGGAGCTGGAGCAATTTGTCGAAAAGAGTCGGATCCTGGAGGAATTGGGAGGGGAAGAGAAGTGGAGCTATACGTACGTGGAGCCTGCAGACGGCGAGAACGACAAGATGAAGGATGAGAACAGGAAAGAGGAATTGAAGGGGGAGAGACAGCAGATTGTCAACATGTACGAGAGCGAGGTGCTTCGGTGGATCCACGCCGGGGCCGCGGAGAAGGAGAATAGCGATGTCTCTGCCGATCTGGCGCAGAGGAGAAGGACGAGGGATGAGTTGGCCGAGCAGTTGAGACAGAATTACTGGAAACTGGACCCCTATGTCCGGGCTCGGACGCTGTATGAGAGGATAGGCATGCTCAAGGAGGGTGGAGCAGTGGATTTCTACCCCACCGCTGCGCCTGTAGCAGCGGCGGCGCCGGCGACCACAACGACAACGCAGGAGACGAGTCCGGATGATCTGGACTAAATTCGTCTTGTTGTTGGGCTGAGCTTATTATTCCACGGGGTTACATTTGAGCTGAGCATCGCATTATTGGTTTCGGTTGTTGACTGTGGTAGGAAGCTAGCATGGAAAGCACGCACGCATGCATGTAGAACAGACAGAGGGAGGAATTCGGATAGAAGGGATTCATTGATGACAAGATCTATGCTCTATATGCTTCGCTTGGTTTTTCGCTCGGTGTGACTTTGCACATCGCAAAGTCGGAAACGCGTATCTACTCGAGAAGGGGAAAAAAAACGAGATATCAAGCCCAAGGGAACGGGTACTATAGCCGCCCCATTCCCCATCCACATCCGGGATGAGAGCACGCAGGTCCGTCTCCTCTCTTCTCTACCTCTATCATGACCGTGTAATCATATGCTCCCGGCCCGGCCCGACGCCAATCCACTTAATCTTGACGCCAACCCTCTCCTCGATAAACTCGACATACTTCCTCGCATTCAGGGGCAAATCGTACCAACTCCGCGCCTGCGTCGTGCTCTTCCCCTTCCAACCGGGCAACGTCTCATACCGCACCTCGACGTTATTCAGCACCTCTGGGTTCGCGGGGAACCCGTCCAGCTCCTGCCCGTTGTACGTGTAGGCGACGCCGACCTGGATCTCGGCGAAGCCGTCGAGCACGTCGAGCTTGGTCAGGTTGAGCAGCGTGTAGTCGTTGCAGGCGTGCGAGTGGCGGAGCACGACGAGGTCGAGCCAGCCGCAGCGGCGCTTGCGGCCCGTCGTGACGCCGACTTCGTGGCCGACGGATTGGAGGGTAGAGCCGATTTCGTTGAGCTGTTCCGTGGGGAAGGGGCCGCTGGGAAAGGAAAGTTAGCAGAATTCCCTGGTGGTGAATCTATGCATTTTGCTGGGTGGGTACATAGGACAGGGGCAAGGAAAGGCACGTACGATCCAACACGCGTGGTATACGCCTTCACGACGCCGATGACCTCCTTGATGGAGCGCCAGCCCAGATTCAGGCCCGTGATGACGCCGCCGAGACCGGTGTTCGACGAAGTGACGAAGGGGTAGGTGCCGTGGTCGATGTCGAGCATGAGGGCGTTTGCGCCCTCGACGAGGATGGGGGCTTTCTTCGCTTTGGCGGATTCGAGGAGGGGGATCTGGTCGATGACGTAGGGAGCGAGTTTGGCGCGGAGCTCCTGTTATAGTTTGTTAACGATTGCAGTCTTGGAAAGGGGAATGGAAATGTGGTACCTTGAATTTCTCCAGCTCGGCCTCCGGGTCATACTTCAGCAAGTCCCCAAAGCGCTTCTGGTAGCCGTGTACTATGCGCCTGAATTTCTGCTCGAAGATCGCCTCGTCGAAAATGTCGCATATGCGGATGCCGCTGCGGGTCATCTTGCTGCTGTAGGTTGGGCCTAACGACGATATATCTGTTAGCCATATCCTCCAATTTCCCAACATGGAAAGCGGAGAGGTCATTCAGAAGTTGCGTAACACTCACCAATGCCCTTCTTCGTGGTCCCAATCAAACCCGTCCCCAACTCCACCTCCTCCAACCCGTCCACCACCTGCTGCAAATCCAGCACCACATGCGCCCTATCGCTCACGAAGATCCTATCCTTGGTATCCAACCCATGCTTCTCGAGCGCCTCCAACTCCTTGAAAAAGCTCGGGATGTGCACCACGCACCCGCTGCCCACGAGGTTGATGCACGAGGGGTTGATCAGGCCGGAAGGCAGGATGTGGAAATCGTACGTGATGCCGTTGGCGACGATGGTGTGGCCGGCGTTGTTACCGCCCTGGGCGCGGCAGCAGAGCGAGGTCGAGGCTGCGAGGATGTCGACGAGTTTGCCTTTGCCTTCGTCGCCCCATTGGGCACCGAGGCAGAGCGTTGCGGACATTGTGGACGTGGAGAGACCTCAATCGAGGGCGGGATTGTGGTCGTCGGTATGGTTCGGTCGGTCTATCGATAGCGAGCGAGAATTGGGACGGGTAGCAGAGCGGGAAGGCGTGAATGAAAGTGGGTTCCGTTTCCTTGGCCGGAGGTAGATTTACCGCACTGGGATATCTGTGAAGGCTTCTCGGCGAAACGAGAGATGAAGAGAAAAAGAAAAGAGGATAGAAGATGCCTAGTACTCCCGGAAATGGTCTCAGGAACCGCCCAATTAAAGGACTTCTGAGCAAGTATATGAGTTTAGGAGTCGGCGGGATTGCGGGGAGAAAATGTCAGTTATGACGTGCCGGAGGGAGATTTAGATACTTGGGCACGCGACTTGGAATTGCCGGCTTGCTCACGAGTAACAAGGTCCTTCTCAAAGCAATGTATAATAACGGATCGGTTTATCCAGCCAAGGTCTATGCACTCCTCTACCAAACCGCTTGTTCCCTCTCTGATGACCCCGCCATCTACAAACTGCGAAAAAGGGATTGTTGCCCCACCATGCATTGGCCCCCGATCTCGCAGCAAGATAGACGGGCCAATCAGATTGCTGCGTTGGGTCAAGGTAAAGAGGAGGGCACGTGCACAGTATTCATTCCTAGGTATCCTTTCAACCTCTCCATCTCATCTCAAGAACCAATCCTAAGACAGCCACATCCTAGAACAACGACATAGAAATGCAGATTCATCTCATCGCCACTTACTGCCCATCTACAGGATAAACACTCCTGATACCACCTCCACCGGTGTATACAGAACGCCACTCCTGCAGCCCTACCCACCATTCGACAAACAGTGTTGCACTGCTTTTCTGTTTCTCAAAGATTTAAATACCGTAGTTATTTTACTCTTTACTATCGGCTTCTTCTTCACCTTGTGCGACCCAACGTCAGAAATTCCACCCTTCGTCATTCAAAAGTTGGAGCCACACTCATTCTCTTAGCCGCATAACTGATAACCCTCCTTGATTTCTATTTTTCTTTTCCGTTCGATATAAAGAATACAATGTAGACCTAGCACGGCAGAGAGATTGCTATCGGCAATGTATGCCGCAATCTCAACTCGCGTAACGATACCTATATCCACGTAGGCAGCATAACGATAGAATGCCTCCCTTCCCAGCAGGAACAATGTGAACTCTCCGACTAATCACGTCCCGTCATTATCTCCTCCCGGGTTCGTCGCCATAACCGCCAATCTACCCAACGACATCCTTGATCATCCGGTCATCCACTCAATTCCTCCCTCAACAATTCCGCAGATCACACACTGGATGATTGACACACACACAACCCGTACGCTGCTCGTTCGCCTTCAACTCCGAATCCATCAACGACACATCCCAACACCAGCAAAAAGTCCGAATCGCCACACAGTACACGAGAGTGCCGACCACAACAGCCGGATGTATCCTCTCCCACTCCTGTGGCGTGTTCATATGCCAACCAATCGAGATGAGAAACAAGGGCGATGCGATGAAGATTTTGAAGATACACGCAGACATGTCAGGCACGGGGCGGCCAGCCTGTGATCCGGTCCTGTACGAGGAGCGCGCAGTTAACGAAGGTGATGAGGAAGAGCCGGGTGCACCAGAGAAGGCAGTGCTGGAGATGAGGTCGATTCTGTCTTTCGGTCTCGAAGGCGCGAGAATACCTGGGTGGGGGGTCTCGGTCCATGTTGGGAATGAGAAGTTGTTGCTCGCGAGTAGTTGCTCTGAATGAGAGTAGTTGCCCGGTAATGAGAGTAGTTGCTCGTGAATGAGAAGTAGTTGCTCGTGAATGAAAAGTAGTTGCTCGGAAACGGCGATATGGAAGGCAATAGAGCGGTTATTCTATAAGGATATGTCTTGAAATTTGGATCACACTCGCGTGGAGACGTCGATGGGAATAAGATTCCTCTGAGTCGGTTGTTGGGGGGAAACCCTGTCTTTAAATCCGCAGGATAGAAGGTGAGAGCGCCGATTGCTCCTGACAGTAAGGCCGAAGGGAAAGAGTGGGAGGTAAGAGGGGTGGACGATTGCGTGTGCGCTGCACACCCCTCCCTCCATCGGTCTAATATCCACTGAGCTAGATACCGCTAGACTCAGTCGCACCGATTACATCTAAGCATCCGAGGAATGTGATGTAATCGGAAAGGTGATCGGTTCGTAATGTACATTCATGCGGCATAGTACATAGGTACATGGACAAAGTGGACAAAGTCGACATTCAGGACTCAAAATCAGACAACTCGCGCCTTGAGCGGCTCCAACGAAATATGGTGTCGATTCGCAATCCAGATGAAAACGAAGTTCTATCTCGTCTAGCCCAACGTAACGCATCTTCTAGTCGGAGCATGTGAGCTGATGACGAAGTTGATTTCGATCTCGCCATGTATGCACAGCCCCAGGTTAGCTTCGGCCTCCCTTAGTGTCATGTGAAGTCCGCATCACCGATGACAGTAGATAGTCAGAGGCGAGACATCCAAGCTCAACACATTCGTTGCCTGTTAGCGTGAACTGTCCGCGTGGCTGTCTACACAGTTGAAAAATATTCGGACTACGGCTTCGCCTTGTTCGCGTCACCTCTTGGTGATGATATAACCTAACTAGTAACTTATACCGAATCACACCGAATCCAAATTAAGTGTGATACCTTAACTTGGGAGTTATTCCCTCTTCACTCGCTGCAAGTACACATAACGCGAATAACAAGAAGTGTGCTATTCCAAAACTGCGAGATGTTATAGTCACACTATACAATTCTCTTAACCAACCTCGCTAGCCATTCACACTTCTAGATACGTAGTCGAGGATTCCATATCTGCTACGCATAGCGACGCTTTCCTCCGTCAACCTGAGCAGGACTAACTGTATATCTACCCTAGGTACACCTACAACTTCACCACACACACCTGCACTACAACATTACAGCCGCCATCCCCACCGCAACCGCCATCCCAACCACACCCATCCAAAACGCCCCTTCTCCCCCAATCCCCAGCACCACCGCCCTCCTCCCCGCAGACCCCTCAAACTCCACACTCCTATTCCCCCCATTCCCACTCTCATCGCCAGTAGTCCCATTTCCCGCCGCCCCCGTAGCCCTCGGCGGCGGAAACGTCGTCGTCCCCGTCGCACTCACACTCAAATTCCGCACCTGCATATAATTCGCCGCCACCGCCGCACCCTCGATCCCAGCACTCCCCAGGAACCTAACGAGCGCGTCTTCGCTGCTAAAAACCCGCTGCTGGATATCCGAGAAGTTGACGCTGGCTGGCAGGGAGAATCCAGAGGCCGGGGACGCATAGAGCAGGAAGGTGTAGGCGTGGGGGGAGTCGCCTACGGGTGGATTTGGGGGGCGGTAGGGCGCTTCTTGCTGTGATTCGGGGGGTAGACGGAGGGAGGCCGGGTTGGAGTTTGAGGGGGTGGTTGAGAGGGTGACGTTGGAGGAGAGCCAGTGCAGGAGGGGCACGCGGCTGTTGTTTCGGGGGACGTCGGAGTCGAGCATTAGGAGGATGAAGGGGCCGGGTGGGGAGTTGGGGAGGCTGGGGAGGCGGAAGGTTGGGGGACTGAGGAGGTCTGTTGAGTGGTGTTGTGTTAGTGAGGGATATATGTAGGGTGGTGTAGGCATAGGGTTAAGGGATAGGGCAATAGAGAAGGAGGACGTACCAGACCGCGGCATCAGTTCACCTGCTGGATCAACAGTGTTGGAGCCGTAGATTACTTCCAATGTGTTGGAGTCCGCTTGGAGCGCAATTCCCGGCGCTGGCTGCGATGCAGCAAGATCTACGAGTACTGTTGCGGCCAGCGCAAAGAGGGAAGAAATTGAAGGTTTTCGAAGCATGTGGCAAGAAGGATAAACCGTCTACGGATACCGGATCGTAGGAGGGGTGGATTAAGAGTAGCAATGGGTGGCTGCTAAAGGTTGTCAAGCCACAAGAAATCGAAGAAGTCGTGCACGACACCGACGCGTGCAAAATTATAAATGTCGAGTGTAGTTCCTCATGCAGAGACACTATCGCCACTGCTGTTTATATCCACCCTTTTCCTGCCGCGTAAGCAGCCTCAAATGCTGCTCTCGCCTTGCAGTTGCAGTTTCAGCATTGCCTTATGGCACCTTGGCCCTGCGGATCGAGTCCCAGATCTCCATGAGGTATTTCCCACATTCCCCATCCTCTCGGGTGGCTTGCATTGCCGGCAGTTGGTGCGTGCATGAGAATGCCGACGGCATCGCGACGGAGGAGGTGTGGATGTCGTCTCATCAAGGTTCAGTTTGAGAACGGGCCGCGTGGGTGCATCGGGCTTGGCAGTCATGCCTGCTCCGATACCGATGGTGATGATACGGGGAGAAGCCGCACGGTGTTAGAAGGCACATCCAACAAAGCTGCAGGTGGTCAGTCGTCATAAATGCATTTCATCATTTTGGCTTCTTCCTAGTACCAAGCCCGGAATATACACAGAACGCCGCCCAAAGCTTGTAAGACTCCCAGATGTGATCCTGCCCGTCAACGCCGTTATCGAGTTTTCTCGAAGTAGCGCTCACCCTTATCAATCTGCCCATCGGCTCGCTTTTCGCTTTACTGTCCTCCTCCTACGCTTCCCCGTCCCCGTACTATGCCAAGTCCCGGGGGATTCCTCTCATGGATGCTGCTCCTCCGTCTGCCGCTCAAGCTTTCGCTCCTAGAACTCTCCATACTTCTTCGCATGCTAGAACTGCTGCTTCTCCGCCGAGCTAGCCTCGCTTGATCCGGTTCTTGAGGGTTCAAGCCACTTGCCCTTGCGAAGAGATTCAAAACGTCCGTCAAGCTGATGACGCCATTGAGACGACCACTGAGAGCTGCACCGGGCAGGGCTGAGGCAGATATGGCGGGAGCTACGACTGCAGATGCTGCCGGTTGGCTGGCCGCAGGGAGCGGGGCAATGGGAGACGGGGGTACCAGGACCACGGGAGTAGCGGCAGGAGTGGGAGGTCCGGAGGAAGCCGGCGATGGTGTCTCTACTACCCACATACGGTGGGACCGGGTTGCGACCAGCTTGGCGACCGTGTGTGCCAGTGTGCAGTAGGGGTTGACGTGGAAGACGGGGAACGAGTCTTTGCCGTCGTGGACACCCCTTTCGGAGAGAATGACGGAGATGAAGTGGATGCACGAGGACCGTAGAAGGGGCAGAGAGGTAGATTTTGTGAGCAGCTGCAGCGGAGTCAACATAGAGGAACTGGAGAATGTTCGATAATGGAACTTACGCGCACGTCAACCTGAGAGATGTTCCCAATGACGTTGTTCTGCGCGTCAAGCACAGGCAGGGAGCTTACACCTTCATTGTGCATGAGCTCCAGTGCATCCGTCAGGGGCTTGTCCCCGCTGTAGGAAATCAGTCACTCTTGTTGCACGACCTTGGCGCAATTGACTTACTTGATGGCCAATACCGAAGACGAGCCAATGTGCAGGTCCTTGATCAATTGAGGATACAGCTGGTCCAACACAGGGAAAGTCTGTCTATTGTCCCAGAAGAACTGCACCATCCGTAATTGCGTCAAGATGCCAATAACGTCGGGCTTGCCTTCCTCAACAACCAGCAAGCGATGCACACCGCTCCCAAGCACTTCTATGGCTTTTGTCAAATCCGCCGTGTGCGGCAGTGTTATGATCGGGTCCTTCTTCCCAAGCTCTTTGATGTCACGGAGGGGAATCGGCTTGCCTTCGCGGCCCTTCTTTGCAAGCTCGTCGAAGGAGGCGACCTCGTCTTGGGCAGGTTGTGCTAGGCCCACTACGAGCAGAAGGTACGCATTCAGGTCACTGTAGTCGAACGTTCCTGTAGCTACTCGGCTATTGCGATCCTCACGCAGGAGGACCACATTGGGAGCGCCCGACTTGACAAGGAGCTAGCGGAAATGTCAGCCATGGCCCAATGGAGCTTCAAAAGCATGCCATACCTCGGTGGCCTCCTCGACGTTGGTGTCATATTCAGCGAACCGGACAAGACCAGGGTCGACAATCTCGCCAATGCGAATCGTTTTCCAATCGCGACCGACGAAAGCAGGATTCCGACCTTTGGTCGGAGGATTGTTCAAGAGTTCCTGCAGCGCCTGTTGCGAAAGAGAGGGCTGTCGTGAAGAGCGAGGAGAGTGTGGTGTGATGCCTCTGGCGTTTTCTGGATAGCTGGTATGACGGGACTGGGGACTCGGAGAGGACAAGTTGTTGCCGAGCGACGGAGAGCGAGGGATGGTGGGAACCGAGTTGGAATGGACCTGTAGAGCAGGAGTAACGCTGCCCTCGTCCTTGTTCGAAGGGTTTCTGTCGTCTGCCATGGGTTGACGGACAGGCGCGGGGTTGTGCGGCGACGGCGGAGGAGATGTGTGCGTCAGGTCCCAATGGTCGGCGACGATGGTTTCTCGCAATGATTATGCAGCTTTATGAGCAGTAATGGAGGACTCTCAGTGGGTTATGGTGGGTTATGGTGCTGGCCATGAAGGTGTGTAGGTGTAGGTGTGATGCTGTTGATGCGGTGAAGCTGCGGGGAAGGTTGATTGCGGGCCCCAATGCGGTAACGGCAGGCCAAACGCGGACCTTCGGCCATCTCCCAATCCGACGCCTTGATTGGCGCTGCCCTGTCAATATGTAGCTTGGGCTCGAGTTCATGGACTTGACGAGCTGAAGAGTGCGGCCAACCCTTATCTACTGTGTACATAGCAGAGAGACGGCTGGAACCATTCCACCTTCTCGAGGCTGACATCATGGGCCTGTCTCACAGACGCGCCATGTATGCGGCGCATCAACCAGGTGTCGCGCATGTGCTGACTAAGAAAGCCCTGGTGGATTAAGGGGTCATGAATTCTCATCAATCGTACAACAAATCATCCAACGGCCTGATAAATCTATAAGAGCAGAAGAGTGGCGTCTTTCCTAGATGTCCAACATGCTTCTCACCCTCTGTGGTGGGACGGCACTGGCGTTATCGCCCGACAATGTCCTACCCGTCAACTGAGTAGCCCCCGTCCTCGTGCTGGCGGTGTCACTATTGTCTGTCCGGCTGGGCCCGAGTCTCGCATCCACATAGGACGATTGTCGAAACTCGTCACTCTGATCTCTGAAGGGGTCCTCGGGCGGCCTGCTCCTGGATCGGTTGCGCAGGTTCATGTTCTCCATTTCCATACTCTGGGCTCCCGAGCGCTCAGCCCGTCGTCTCCCCGGCGGTCCGGCGCTCTTGGCCATCTGCTCCAGCCTCTGCTCGTCGGTCTGATACCGAGCCCACCAATCCCGATCCCACCAGTTCGGTTTGCGCGTGATACCGAGCTCGGTGTCGTGTGCTATCCCGCGCTCGCGCCTCATCTGAATGATGCGCTTGTCCTCGTTCTCCTCCACGAAGCCTGCGATCTCGTAAATGACGATGATGGCCAGGATGGGGCCGTAGCCTAGGCCGAAAGGCCATCCGATGTGGACTCCATCTTGGGATATGCTCAGGTCCCAGATCCAAGCGCTGGCAATGCCGTAGCCTAGTCGAATGGCGAGCAGTATGATCGAGAGAAGGATCTTCGTCGGGGAATCCCGGAAGAAGGCCTTGATCTTGTTGAAGAACCCCACCCTCCGCGGTTTATAATTCTTCAACGAGTGGAACAGAGAGAAGCAGATGACGAACCAGGCACACACGGCCAGTATAGCTCCAGCCTTTTCCCGCGCCCCCGTGGCCGCCGGCTTCGCGATATTATTCTTGTCCTCGGGTGTATTCTGCTTCTGTATCGGCGTCCAGGAACGCGGAATGGTCATGAAGAAGTTCAGCCATGCGAAGAGGTAGAAGATCAAAGGTAGGTAGAACTCGACTTTGGAGCGCTTATCGTCCTGCCGTAACGCGAACAGGTCGCGGTCCACGATTTTTCTTTCTTCCCACGAACCCCTGAGTGTGTTAGATCAGGACTTTGATGGAGAGGCTGGGCGTACCTACCAGTGTCTGGTGCATTCCCAAACCATTGCCAGTGCACCGGGAACCATGAGCATGAAGAAGAAGCTCTGCAGAATGATGGGAATCTGCTGCAGATAGTAGCGGTCGACGTCAATACCGGTGAATGTGCTGATCATTGCACACGCTGCCACGAACAGCATCCAGTACCACTGCCACCGTCTCCCAATCACCCGGAACCTCTTATCCTCCCTCAGATACAATTTCCCGTGTTTCCGCAGGTTGATCAGGGTGAACATGATGCTGATGCCGAAAATGGAACCGATGAGGATGCTTGCGATTCCGCGCTCGTGGATGCCGTAGTAGGGTATGTAGCAAGTAGTTGCATTGACCCAGCTGCCGTTGCTGAACATGAAGGGCTTGTAGTTGTCGAAGATGAGGTAGCATTTGGAGGCGTTGGAGATGGTATTATTGCTGTATATGGTGTAGTTGTAGTGTTGGAGGGCAGTGAGGTTGAAATGGACGCCGTTGACGACGGTGTCGGTCTCGTTGTCGCCTGTGGGGAACTGCAGAAGTTCCCTCAATTGGAGGAAAGGCATAGTGGTGGATAGTTGCGGCCGGCGAGGCCACTAGGTAAGGGCCGACTATGCGGAATTGAGGTTTGCTGTCCTACTTGTTGTAAACCATCGGTATCACAGGAGCGGGAGACGCGACAGGGTGATTACTGTGTTGGGGTTGATGCGAAGCGGAGAAAAGCACTTGGGGGTTTTGACGGGAGGAAGATAGACGGCCGTCCGGCGTAAGTAGGTGTGGATATATATATATATATATAGGGTAGACAGGGTCGCCGAACAGAGCGAGAGCCTGCTGAGAGGTAGATTTAATGGCGCACAATGAGTACGCCTTGAGGCGGGACTTGACCGGGAGTTGCGGGCAAATCCGTCATCCCGCGCGGCGAGGACTGATGGCACTAGTCGATTGGTTCGTGCGCGCTGGTGTTTTTGATGCAGGTCGGACGACGATGGACGGCGGGGGACTCGGCCGAAGATGACAGGGAGAGATTCTGAAATGGTAAAAGATAATGACACTATACAGATGCAATCATGCTACGGCGATCAATCTTCGAAGGGGGAACCGGCTAGAGTTGTGGCATACGCAGACCGCCAGATTCAAGACTTTATGGAAACCTTTCCCTATATCAGATGCTAGGCAAAGCTGTTTGTCAGCAGCACACCTATACAGTCAATCCGAGTAATAAGCTCCTCTGACATGGCTGGAAAAAGTTGGACGCTATTATGCTGCCTGGTGCTTTGGTTACTGCCAAAACCTACACAGTAGTCAGCGCACATTTGATTGGCCACACTTCTGGTTATGCCCATCCGTTTCAAGGCCTGGGAGCTCAGTATTTACTTGTACTGTGTACATTTGAAGAGAGCCACTCAGATTCTCCATACAGTCGAGGTAGATGATTACTACGCCTGGCATACCCGTGCGGCTTGCTCCTACTAGCTAGCTGTTCCAATGGACGTGGAAACCTGCAGTACAATCGGCTTCTTTCGAATCCACCACTTGGTGATGCGGCTCGGCCATAAGCGACTGGCGCTACTAAAGACCGACGACATCTGTAGGGCTGCAGCTCTGAATTTCGTTTCTTTTCGGGCACCGCACGCTGTAGCAATATGTAATCAAACCCCGTTGGTAGACAGCAGTAGACAGATTGGATTCCAATTGAACCTGCTGGGCAAAGATCCTGAGGCGCGGCAGAAGGAGACCATCGATATACATATGTACTAGTATGGCCCGGGGTCAATCGATCCTTATCGATAAACCCGTGGCGCTCGTCCGAACTTGACCTTCTCGGTTGGGAGTTCATCAGCTCCGAGAATAGTCCACCTTCATATTCACCTTCGCCTTGACGCTTCAAATACATCACCGCCCCTCCCGCGGGAAACCATCATATCCCCCGGTGAGCGCCGGTCGCTTCCACCGCGTCCCGTTGTCCCTCCCTCCCGTCCCTCCTTTCCCGCTCGCCATGTAGACATCGCCTACACCACAACGTCCACCCTCAACCCTTCTCCCTTCACCATGACCGACATCATGGCCGGCTCCTCGAAGCCGGCCCTCGCCTCCCCCAAGATCATGAAGAATTCCAAAGGCACTATCATTCCAACAAGCCAGTACGTCAACTCTGGTAACCTTTCAGGGTGTCTGGTGAGAGCCTAATACCGCTTCCAGAGTTGCCCACGTGCAGTATGGCTGCGAGCACATAGAACTGCTGCTGAGCAACGCCCGCGCCGCGACGCTCAAGCAGTACCGCATGCTTCTCCAGAAGATCTTTCACGAACCCAGCATCATCACTCAGACGTACAAATCGGGCGCTGGTTCGCCCATCGTCTCCCTTCGACCCCTCTATCTATGCCTCCAATGTCCCCTCATCGCTACCGAAGCCGAAAGGGACGAACATGTCGATACCAAGGGACACATCTTTTGTGGGTCACGGAGGCTTGTGCACGATTGCTTGCGCTGACGCCGTGTGATAGCCGCCGAATCACGACAAGGGCACATCTACTGTGGACATTGCCAGGACTTCATCTATGACCCTGAAATGGAGGAGAGACGGGTTCATAAGGGTGCCTCACGCTTGTTCTTCTCATGAAAAGTGCTCGGCTAACTTTCATCTAGGGAAGAAACGAAAATATGAGGACACAATCAGCCCTGAAGACCATAAGCTCATCGTTAGCCACACTACATTCTCTCCCTGTCGGGCGATTGGCCTCCGTGGGCTTTACAACATGGGACAGACTTGCTTCATGAGCGTCGTGTTGCAAACCCTCATCCACAACCCCTTCATCCGAAACTTCTACCTTGGGGAGGGCCACAAGAAAGAAGACTGCGGCAAGGAGGGATGTGTCAGTTGTGCCCTGGACGAGATGCTCCAAGAATTCCACACAAGCGAGAAGACGGAAGGCTTTGGAGCGGTCAACATGCTCATGGGCAGTTGGCTAGCAGGCGAAGTGAGTGCATCTCTACAGCGTGGAAAATACCACTGGGCCTAATGTGTTCCTCTAGGCTCTGGCCGGATATAACCAGCAAGATGCCCATGAATATATGCAGTTCATGCTCAACACGCTCCACCTGCAAAACGACGGCTCTCACGACGTCGACTGCAACTGCATCATCCACAAGGTTTTCTCTGGCAAACTCTGTAGCACAGTCACATGTGACAAGTGCAAAAACACAAACACAGCCGTCGATCCCTACATGGACCTAAGCCTGGACGTGCGTAACAAGCCTAAGAAGCGAAAGGTCGAGCCTGGGGCCGTAGAAGATGCACCGTTGGACCTCCGCGACTGCCTCGAGCGCTTCACCAGCAGGGAGAAATTGTCCGCCGAGGACTACACTTGCTCCAGCTGCCAGGACCGCCAAAGCGCGACCAAGCAGCTCAGCATTCAGCGCCTCCCGCTATGCTTAGCCATACATCTCAAACGCTTCGAACACACCAAGGCCACATCCGCCAAAATCGAAACCAAGCTCAGCTTCCCCATGACCCTCAATCTCTACCCTTACACAACACAGGGCAAATCAACGAATCCAGTGCCTTCCTCACCCTCCACCTCACCGTTCCCCGAACCCAATCCCAACATGAACATCAACAACCCCTCCAACGCCCTCCTGTACCACCTCTCCAGCGTGATTGTCCACAAGGGCAAGATCGATAGCGGACATTATGTCAGTTATTCGAAGGAAGGGGGCGAGTGGTTCATGTTCGATGATAGTAAGGTAATTAAGGTGGGAGAGAAGGATGTGTTGGCTGCGGAAGCGTATCTGCTGTTCTACATCGTGGGTGATGGGTTGGATATTTAGGTGGCGGGTGTCGGTGGAGGGGGAGTGTGTAGAGATGGTTGGTATTCAAGCAGAGGTAGAGTCGACGGGGACGGAGACGGCGAACCTCATGAGGTTCGTTCATGTACAAAGATACAGACTCAGAGTCAGTCTCGCGGTCAGCTATGAAGTTGGACTGCAGAGTTGGGAGACATTGCTGTTGGTGTTTTCTAATCCCACTACGGGAATAATAACAGTATTATCTCAGTGCACCTTTCCAAATTCAACTGGACAGCCAGGGATATATTGGAGTAGGTGATCTAGCCTGAAGGGAAATGCAGGGGGTTATGCACTCGGACGTGAAGAGAGGCAGTCGTGGGAGCTCAAGCTAGAGCTTCATTTAACCTACTTTTACATAGCTAAACCAGCTAGGAGTAGGAAGACTAAATCGACCCAACCCGCGTTGCCCTTACCGCAGATACGAGGAGTAGTTGAGCTGGAAGATCTCCCATTTCTTCATGCCCAGTTCTTCATACCCATTTCTTCATGCCCATTTCTTCATGCCCATTTCTTCATGCCCATTTCTTCATGCACCCCTAGACCAACGATCTCAGCATCTCTCCCACATCCCGCTGCTTCCCCACCCTAACCTTCCTCTTCTTCCTCGCACCCGCGCCTCCATCTCGCTCCTCATGCCTATCCGCCTCGCTTCCCTCCACCACATCTTTCCCTCTCTCGACGATCCTCCTGGAAAACCACACACTAGGGTCACCCCGAAGTCCAGCAACCGCCGTCGTCTCAGAGTCAGTCGTAGGTTGACCATAGATGGGGGGCGGTTCATGCAGGTCTATTTGGTGCGCGTAATGCACGGTGATTAGCGTCTCGCCAGTGACGGCGAGGGGTTTCTGGTCCAGAGCGGGGATCGCGGCATAGTCATAGAGAGCGGTCATCTTGGAGCGGATGGGGAGGTTGAGGCGGATCAGGGTGAGTTCGGGCTGGTCGTCTTCCTCATTGGTCGAATGCCATTCATCTAGGGGAGACCTATACTTCATGAGACCCGTTATTTACCCTTGCAGCAACACACGTACTTGTTCGTATACAACGTCTTCCACGCTTCCAAGTCCAGCGGCGTTTCGCCAATCTGTAGTTTCCGACCGGGGGATCTCAGATTAACCAGATTTAGTGCTGGGAAGTTCGTCGCCGCGTGCATCAACGTCCCGATACTGATCCCATCTCCCCTGATCATCAGTACCCTCAACCTCTTGAACGCCTCACTCTCCTTCACAGCTCTTCCCCAGGACCAAATCATCTTGTCCCTGACCGGCAGAGGCGGGAGCGGAGACAGTCTTACGGAGAACTGCAGATTCAGGACGGCGAGATTGCGAAGGTCCAGCAGGGAGATTAGATTCTCGGTTTCCATGATGGCATTGTGGACCCAGAGCATGGTGAGGTGTTGGAGGGGTATTTGCGATAGTGGGAGAGTGATTGCTGGGACTGAGGGTCTTGGGGACGGTTTGCGTATGTTGAGATGGCAGGCTTGGGAGACGGAGTTGGTGTAGACTTGGCGGAAGAGGCTCCATGTTCGCGGGGTTAGGGTATCGCTGGGAGTGTCATTGGCTTGCTGCCGGGAGTCTATGCTCCAACCAGAAGAAAGGAAACTACAGTGAATGTTGTGCTTACGTTTCTTTAAGCTCGTTGTAAATGATACGAGCAATCCACCAAGGCACTTCGGCAAAAGTTTCGGGGAGGAAATAGTCAATGTTCCAAACGCAGACGCGGAGGGCTGTTTTCAAGAGGGACGAGGTTCCGTTGCGGTTTCGATGATATTTGGGGTTGGGCCTCTTGCCTGTGCAGACGTCTATGGGGGATATGGACGGGGGATTGGATGACATGTCTGCTGATGATCAAGGGGACTTAGATAAGTAGAGACCAGATTTTGGTTTTCTTTTCTTAATGCCCTGGAGGGGTTGTGGGTCTTTTACAACAAAGCCAGATAAGGGTTGACATCGAGATCTGGTTGGTCTAGCAGGAAGTAAGCTCTGAAAATGTACAGGACTATCAGTTTTGCCTTACAGAGAGTACTCCTATCCAGTCAACAGGATATGGGAGACTCGAGGTACCATTGTTGCTCAAGCCTTGTCTGCTGCATAAACGACAAATTGTAAATCGCTCTAGTTACTTACTGTAACCTTGTTAAGTCCACATAGCAGCCCCTACAGCGTGCGTTGACAAAAATTCCTTCTGAAGAACAACCAAGCAGGATATTCATACGCGGCGGTTATGTGCGTCACTCTCCCCCTCACAGATGAGGTTGTCCGTTCACTGTGGCTGAAAATGTGGCTAGCGCGGGTGGTTGCCCCGCACAACCACCACATCAACATCGCGTCCTGTCGCGTCCGTGCCATGTGGCTTCAGCTCCCCAGTTTTTGAATTCATCAACTCACCACACACCGTCCCGCCCCGACACTTGCCTTGATCCCTATCCTATACCGGTGAAAACAGCACGATGCGCCGGTACGCAGACGCGACCCCGTGTCCGGCGCCCAGCCTATCCCTCCACAGCAATCGTTATACCGAATATGGCCACCGATCATCTATATATGCGCCGACATATGCTATAGAGGATACGACAGCAAATCTAGACTACACTACGGAGCTGGGAGCGAACCCTAGACATGCAAAGCCAAGGAGAGCCATGCGCGCATCGCGCAGGACGAACTTCGATCCCGCTCTGGATATATTCGAAGATGTGGCCCAGGAAGAAGAGAAGCAGGAACAACTGCAAAAGGCCGAAATAAAGCGAAGGAGCCGTGCATCCATATTGCCCAGGATCGGAGCAGAAAGCAGAGGCACAATTCTCGCGCACCCAGCCCAGAAGATACCAACTGCTGCAGCGGCAGCGCCAAAAGCACAGCTGACGAAGCCACATCGGCGGCGCGTCTCGGAGTTGCTGCTGGACAGGGAAGAAGCAGTGGGCAATGCTACAGTCCAATTACGGGAAGATATCTTGGAGAAGAAGGAGCTGAAGAAGCAGGGCCCTAGGAAGGATCCCCGCCGAAGGACCATCTATGTTCCATCCGAAGATACCACTATCATGACCATACATCCAGGGCAACCTACGCAGAGGGCTAGGAACCCCAGGATGAGATCGCCAAACTTTGGACTGGACCTTGTAACTTTGTCAGAAGAGGAGCCAGAGGATCTGGTCTCTGCACTGAAGAAGGAGAAGAAGACGTCGCGCAAGTCCCTGGCAGCTCCACCAAAGCGGGGGCCACTTCGAGAGGTAAAGAGACCACCGCAGGCGGCACCGTTCCTGGAGGATGCCTTTGGGTCAGGGCCTGGAAAGGAAAATGTACCCCCAGGATTCCTGGAGATTGACCTCAATTTTACCAAGAAGGACGGGAAACCGGCGTTGAAACCATCGAGAGTCCATTTTAATACTTCGAAATCAGCGCAGACCGCCCAGGGCAAATCCAAGTCTGATGCTGCTCAGAAGCGACTGCGATCTCAGAACAGCTATGACGGGTCGCCTGCTAAGTCCATCAAGTCCAAGGTCAACAGTACAGCCTCGACGAAATCATCTACGATTCCACCCGCAAAACCTTCCTCAAGAAGAACTCTACCAGGAAAGGTGCAGATGCATAATCCATCGTCATCCTCCCCGTTCCATCCGGACGGATCTCCGCCCTCTGCTTTGCGCCGAAGAAAAGACAGAAGCGAACCATCGACGGAGATATCGATGCTCCATATAGTCGGGCAGCCTCAACCTGTTCGTGAGAAGTACCCCATATTGGCAGAAGACCTGGTTCGACCCGAACTGTACGAAGATCACTGGCTCACGTATCAAGAGGTCGCTATGACCCAATTGCTTAATTCGGTGTTCAACTCTGCTCACGCCATTCATGAGAACGGTTTCTCGGATCAAGATCTCCGCCTAAAGATGTTAGCGATCTATCAGGACCCCGCCACAGTGCTTTTGCACAAGCGTCTGCAAGCCTCCTTGACCTGTGGCGCTCTGAGCCTACCGAAAGATCTCCTGGGACAGACGCTACGGATCAAAGACGACCTGGGGATGCGCAAGAAGTATCTGAACCTTTGGGTAAAAACATATGATCTTTTTGCTCTACGTGCCGCGGCAGAGGCTATTGTGGGACGGAAAATTGCGGTTCCATCAAGGCTTTCCAGTGGATCAACGAGTTCCGAGGATGGTTCGCGCCAGACACGAGCGGAACGTAGAGCCATCGAAGCTTTCCTGGAAACCTTCTTCATCCGCAACGAAGATGCCACACGGGTCAAAAGTGGTGCTGGGAGTATCGCGAACATCACGCGCGGTGATCACCATGGTGATGAAGTCGGGTCCCCAGGCTGGGCATGGCGACGCACCATGCTGCGGAGTCTCATGTTGGTCCTTCTCCTGGATAAGGCAAAGATTCAGGGCGCCATAACTGATTGCCTCTTCCAAACCACGTCGCCTCACAAGACTTCTGAGCAAGTGCTGCACGCTTTGGGGGCAATGCTTCTGCCGTCAGTGGGAGATATCACGCGGCCGCTTGGCCACTTCAACTACAGAGTTGAACATGCCCAGTACCCTCTGGAGGAGTACAACTATCACATCGAGAATATTGCCATCGATCTTCGTGACGGGGTGATGGTCACCCGTCTTGTTGAGCTGCTGCTCTATTCGCCCACAGCAATTAGCGATCGCGGCGACGAGACCGTCACCATCACAATGCCGTCAGGCGAGCTTCTGACGAGCACCTTTAATCTCAATCAAAGGGAAAGCTGGATCTTGTCGCAGCATCTGAAGTATCCTAGTATCGGCCGTCCGCAAAAGCTCTACAATGTGCAAGTTGCATTATCTGCGCTAGTGGGAGTCCGTGGCATCCCAACTCAAGCCATTGAGGGCATCAAGCCTGAAGATATCGTCGACGGGCATCGTGAGAAGACTTTGAGCCTGCTCTGGGCTGTAGTGGGGAAGTGCGGTCTCAGCACCCTTGTTGACTGGTCGCAGCTCGTCAAGGAAATTGACCGTTTCCGTGAGAGCTGGTACAGCAAGCGCGACAACTACGAGCAAAGGGATCTGGACTCGGATGACGATGAAGAGGCTACGATCCAACTGCAAGGCCTGGAGTACCACAAGCGACTTTTGCTGTCCTGGTCGCGGAGCATTGCTCGGCTACACGGCTTGCGCGTCTCCAACCTCACTACTTCATTTTCGGATCCACGCGTCCTAGAAAGCATCGTTGACACCTACCTGCCTTCTTCCCTATCAACAGGAGATGGCACAGCGCAACTCCCGCTAGCAGCCAAGCTCAGAGCGACAGGCTGCTCGTCGTCCTTCGTCGCGCTCTTCACGCCGCAGCACCACAAGAATAAGACGATCCCATCCCGTGACTTTACTCTCATCACCCTCGCGTTCCTCGCCTCACGCCTCCTCCCTCTTTCGATTACTCACCGCGCCGCATCCGTCATCCAAAGAGCGTACCGTCGCCGTCTCGGGCGACAGACGGCGCACAAGCGCGTTGTGCTCATGCGGCTTGCGTATGCATGCGCCGACGTGGCGCGGAAGAGGGAGAAGGTCGTGTGTGCGGCGATGACGTTGCAGAGGCGGTGGAGACAGGTGTTGGCGGATCGGAAGAAGAGGCTTGAGCGGGAGGTGACGCTGTTTCAGGCGGCTGCGAGGGGATGGGCGCTCAGGAGGTGGGCGAGGCGGGTTACGGGCGGAAGGGTGGGAGGGAAGGAGAAGGTTAGGAGGGTGAGGGGAGGGTGGTAGTTGGAGTGATGGGCTTGGACAATTGCCAGTTTGGACGTTTTGTTTTTGATGCTGTTTGAAACTTGTTCTGGGGCATTCTCGAGATTGACCAGCGTCACGAATTACGAATTTCGACTTCTATTCTTCCCTTACTGGTCCGCTTCTCAGTCATGTACATGCTTCGTAATATGGAGAGATTAGTCGCTGCAATGGATTTTGCTCCTCTTGATGTTTCTCAGTAGGAAGTTAGACGCGAAGCATCATTGTCCGTTCTCTGTGTGCCTTGAAGGGTTCCCACAACAACGGATCAGGCACATGTCAATCTCACATGTCAACAATCTCACATGTCGGCAATCTCATATGTCGTCAATTCTTACATGTCATCATTTCATTCATCTTGCCCGTCATTGTACTAAAGTGTAGCTTTTAATTCTGCTGGTTAGTGGCACTAGAGGGGCCTGTGTGGAGCCATATTTTTGAAGTAATGATCTCAGTCCGTCTTGGCGGCTGAGGTATAAAGCCTTCCCCAAGCCCCATAGAGTTGAATGGCGTTTCCAGGTTAGGAGACAGCGATATCCCATTCGTCTTCTTCAGCCCTTATCTCCACAGTCATTATATAACATGGCGATCAAATATGTCTCTCGAATTCATGCTATGGGCATTGTGGTCAGGAACCCTACCTGGCAGACAGACCGATTTCAAGGCCTTTCCGAAGTCAGACCTAGAAGGGGAGACACTTCCCCTAGCCCCGACACGATCTACTTCGTGATTCCAACACCCGCGATGATTGATGGGGATAATATGAAGGCAGTTTCTGCTGCTGTCCGCTTCCGCACTGGCAGCAGTACCCGAGTCACGGAATTCACGGTCACTCACAACTCGTTGGTGATAATTCATAAGACTGGACTCAGCTTAAGCCACTCATCTATGGCGGTTCACGACGAGACTGTCCCCGGTGGCGTGCCGGTCCAACATTCAGTTCTCCTCGAGGTGAAGGTTGACTTCACCGGAAGCGGACCAGACGATTTCATTGAACTCGCCTACGCCGAGGTCAGCTTTGACAATATCTAGGGGTGGCACAGATGGATGGATCATCCTGAGCATGTCACCTCACTCGCTTCACAGGAGGAACGATCGGGAATCAGAACGGATGTGGATGGGGCATGGCTTCCTTTGCAAAAACAGTCCAGTTGTGGAGTTTTTTAGGATTTCGACAAAATCCTCCTCCGTTTATCAACGAATATGGTGAATTATGTAAAAAGTCTACTACGCGGCGCGAGATTGCTGTCATTTTCAGGTGCAGGTGTCCCAGTTTCGGGCTGATGGTCCGTTTCTAGGCCACCACCCGCTCCCATTATGAAGCCCATGCTCCCCGTCCTACATATGGAGCTCTGGTGTGCTTTACTAGATCAATTCTTCTTTAATTTATAGTTGAAATGGCAGAAAGGCAAAAGCGCGACACAATATTTCCTGGAAGCGATCAAGGGACTGGTGACCGTGAAGTGTCTAAACCCGTCAATAGCAAACACGATACTACCAGTCCCAGGGTTACCCAGGCCTCTGTCAAACAGGTTCATAAACATCTAATTAACCCATTGTCAGTATAGACGTACGCGTTTTGTTTTTGATGGTGTTTTGATGCTTGTTCCGTGGCGTTTCTAACATTGGCCTGCGTCACGAATTACGAATTTAAACCTTTATTCTTCCCTTACTGGTCCACTTCTCAGTCATGTACGGAGGTGTTGCCATTAACGTGTTCTATTAGTTAGTGGGACAACGTATCAAAGTTAATCGCACCCTTCTGTCGATAGCGGGACAACAACGGATTCAAATAAGCTAGAAGTTGAGACATCTTCAGCTACAAGTGCACTGGCGTCTATTATAACCTTGTATATAGCATTTTACTACTAAAGATTTTATATTTTACCTTAGAATATCTGCTAAGCTATACTAATAGAGGGGTGCCCCCCTCCTTCTATTGTTGCAACTAGCGATAACGTGTTCCACCACTCAACCGATCATACCACTCAACCGAACACCTCACCAAGATCATGACGTGTCTCTTAACGATTGTTCTACAACTACACAAAATATTACTATAAAGCCACTGTAGGAGCTTCTTCAGATATTCCTACATTGACGCCTTGTATGGCCTTGAATATGATAGTTCGTACACGTTGGTGGTTCCCGCTGGTGTACAGGAGGAGCCTCACCCTGATCACCTATGTGCCCACTATTTTTAATCCTATCTACTAGAAACTGGCCCTGCTGTGCCTGTAGAACACCTCCCTATGCAATATACCGTCGGCGATGCTGTAGCTTCTGTCTTCGACGGTGATTTGCTGTACGAAGCTCTGAATTCTCCTTTGCAAGTAAGACAGCTGAATGCATCACCATCTAGCATCCCTTAATAAGTTAATTAACTGCTCGGCTAGTTGGGCTCTGCGATTAGTGCTGGATGAGGCCTCGTACAAGTCAAGCCTGCTGCTCTAGCTGGGCAACAGTGTGAGGTGTCTCAGATGTCTATGGAAGCGCTGCTCCACTAGAGGTGCCTGGTGGAGACGGTGTCTTGGTAACTGTAAGGGATGATAATACATGCTGGGGATTGTATGGCACTAGCCCAGTAGTTAGAAATCCACTCTGTATGTTCTGCTCTATAAAGACAGCTTGCTGTACACCTGTATATAGCTATAGAAAGTCCTCCTTGTCGATATGGTAGACTCTTTGGTGTGCAAGCCTTTGCACCTCTTGACTGTACAAGCGCTTTAGAGGCGAGAAACAACTCATATCGAGTGGCTGGAGGAGGTGCGACGTGTGTGCTGGCATACAGAGTGTAATAATATTGTTCCATGTACAGTATTGGTCGAACTCCGGTGTCGTATGGCTACTGTGGCCATCGAGTATGAGCAACCTATAGGCCCCAGTTGTTCGAGCCTTTATATGCATGTTGAAGTGCTTTAACCACTCATAACCTAGCTCATCAGTTGTCCAGCCATTGTCGCTCACCATGACTACCCAGTCTGCAGGTAGATTGTGATACCAGCTTGATTGGTGGATCTTTCCTGCCAAGATGATGAAGGGTGGGATAGCCCAACCAGCCATATTAATTCTCTCAATTGTTGTAATCTACTCTCGATTGCCTGGTTGTATAGAGACTGCTCGGCCTACTATATCAGAGCTTGTGATGACTTTTGACGTTGCAGCGACCCCCATCATAAATCCAGTCTTATCAAAATTGTAGATATCTTCATCTAATATGCCGTACGTCTGGCATGTCTCCTCTACACATCTAAACCATGCATTTATTGTAGTTGGATCCTCACATTTTGCTTGTTGTGAGTGGAACCTATGGTTCCACTTTGTCTATAGCTCTGGCTGAGTGTTGATAAAGCGGTATACCCAGTTCTTGCCTACAGAGGGTGGTGTAGTGTTCAGATCGTGCACAGCAAGTAAAGCATTGGCCATATGATGTACGTCAATTATATGTGGTGAAAACTCGTGTTGATCAAGATCTAGTATCTACTTTACTAGAACCTCCTCCTCTGTAGATTGTAGCTTCCGTTTCTTCGCGTTTATCGTGGCCTTTGGTAGGGCACCGTTGACGCGACCGTGCAGGGTTGATAGGGGCACGTCGTACAGTCGTGCAGCTTCTCAGGAGCTTGAAACATGTTTTTTTCTGAATCGTCTGTATCGAAAGAGCGAGTCTGCCTTCTTTTTGGAGTTGCTGGGTGTTCTGTGTTGACATAGTGGTGAATTAATTAAGAGACGCGTCGCGATCTTGGTAGGGTGTTGGGTTGAGTGGTGTGATCGGTTGAGTGGTGGAACACGTTATGTAGTTTAGTTTACATAGCAGTTCTAACGGCTAAGCCACCGCACGCCACATGTGCTACGTCATCATGTAACCGAAGGTGGCTTGGCGCACCTAGCCAAACTTGTTCAGGCACTATGTTTCCATTCGCTTATGCATCCCCAAGTACTTTGTACTCGCCTCACCAAGCATCCCCCAACACCACCATCGATAGGAGACGATCCTTCTTTATTACGCAGTGCGAAGACTACGGTAGAGGCGACCGGCTTGAGACGCAATCAGGATCTCCAGACGGTCCTTTCAACCCCTACCGCCTCTAGATGGCCAGCGATCGCAACGACCTCTCTGAGAAGACAAACGACGGCCCTGTCGCACACCAGCGTGATGGCGACGCAAACCGCAACACTGTCGCCGACAATACACCATCGCCTCCGCATCCACTAGTCCCGCCTCCGCTCGATACTGTGGCTGCGGGTGAGGGAGCTACTACCACAAAGCCCAGGCTACCACTACTCGTTCGCATGAAGAATGGATCAATACGTTTTGGAAAGCATACGAAAAATGCTTTGTTTCACAGCTGGGTCAACATACTGTTAGTATTCGTGCCTATCGGCATCGCTTCGAAACCAGCACATCTCTCGCCAGAGATCATCTTCTCCATGAACGCTATTGCAATTATTCCTTTAGCTGGGTTGCTCGCGCACGCTACCGAAGCAGTTGCAGCAAGGCTTGGAGACACCTTGGGGGCATTGCTCAACGTCTCTTTTGGAAATGCTGTAGAGCTTATCCTATTCATCATTCTGTTGGCTGGCAACCAGATTCGGGTTGTCCAGGCTGCGCTGCTTGGTTCAATTCTAGCAAATCTGCTTTTGATTCTAGGAATGGCCTTCGTTGCTGGTGGTCTACGCTACCAAGAGCAGGTATGTCAAATTCGGAAGGCCTTCTAATTGATTATTACTAACATAGACAGATCTATAACAGCTCCGTCACCCAGATGAGCGCTTGCATGCTTAGTTTAGCTGTCATGAGTCTGCTACTACCAACCGCATTCCATGCGGCTTTCTTAAGCTATTCTAAGGCTGACCAGCAGACCCTTTACGTCAGTCGAGGCACGAGCGTGGTGTTGCTGATCGTCTACGTCTTGTATCTCTTATTTCAGCTCAAGAGCCACAGCTATTTATATGCTAGTACACCTCAGCACATAATTGACGAGGAGTCACACCCAGGCGTGCTCGCGGGTGTCCTCGACCCCTCCCACTCGTCCGATTCGTCTTCAGACTCGAGCAGCATCGACAGCGATAGCACAACCGGGTCCGATACTACCGCAAAGCGTATCAAACGCGTATTCAAGCATCGCAAGCGCCGTATGTCCGGCGCTACCTTCAAAGACACGCCCTCAGCACCTCCAGTCACAAGCTCACCTTCGGCTGAGCATCTTAGGACCCGATTTAACTGGCAGCGGAATGGCTCTGCCCACGATCACACGATCCATTCTAACACCCTGTCCCGACGTAACTCGTTTCTGAACGCTTCCATGAGCGGAGACGAGACGGACACCAATGATGGCCACGTTCCTGTTGTCCGTGACTTTGAGGCCGATTCATCCCGCTCGCCACCCAAGGGCAAGAAGCGGAAGTCAAACCACAAGAGGAAAACCCGAAAGCATGGCGATCAGCAAGCAGAGGACGAGGAAGCCGCACCAGGTCCATCTTCTCGCCAGCCAGAGCCCTCGCCCAAAGTTGCTTTCGCTGACGAGGTTCAGCAGCCTGCATCTGCCTCGCCAGCTAGACGAGCGTTTGCACTCAAGCCAGCCCTGCCAGCTTTTCTGTCCAATAACGTTTTCAACAATCCTCAGAACCTACCTCCTCCAACTGGTGTGCCGGCCCTAAGTAATGTTCGTATGGCTGGACCGAGAACGGTGCATCGGACAATGTCTTTACCTGAGCGTACCAGCCGCGTGCCTTCTCAGTTGAGCTGGAAGAACAACAATAACAGTCGACCCGAGCTTTTGCACAACGATTCCCCAGCTTTGACTACAGTTACTCACGAGTCCGTAAAAGAGGAGGAGCCTCAAGTCATGTCCCGTACTGCTGCCGTTATGATGCTACTTATTACTACGGGCTTGGTCGCTGTCTGCGCTGACTTTATGAGCGATGCTATCGAGCCTATGGTAGAGAAGACTGGTATCAGTCAGGCATTCATCGGACTTATCATCCTACCTATCGTTGGTAATGCTGCAGAGCATGTCACAGCCGTAACGGTTGCCGCAAAGAATAAAATGGATCTTGCCATCGGTGTTGCAGTTGGCTCGTCTATTCAGATCGCCATCTTTATCACCCCTTTCATTGTCATCCTCGGTTGGATCTTAGCCAAGGATATGTCGCTATACTTCAACATCTTCGAGACGGTCGCACTCTTCGTCACTGCCTTTGTGGTCAACTTCTTGGTTCTCGACGGGAGGAGCAACTATTTAGAGGGAAGCCTGTTGATCGCGGCATATGTCATCATTGCTCTGGCTTCTTTCTTCTACCCGGAAGGCTGCGATGCTTCTCAGATCGGCGGCCAGGAGGGTACTTGCTAAGCATTGAGGATGGTCATGTCCTCGCTCGGCTAAGCAGGTCGCGGCAGTAATGGAATAGAGAAGGGATTCAATACGATCACTTGAATCCAGCGGCCTTTGTAGTTATAAATTCCCAGTGCGTCGACGGTCGACGTGACTTTCACCTCCACACCCCTCACTCAGCTCCGAACAATGGTCACAGAACTGCAAGAAGGCCTCCGAGAGCAAGTCATAGCTTTTTCAGGACTCAAGCATCAACGCCGGTTCAACACCGTCGCCCTTCGTATTGGACAACGGACTCATGTCTAAGCAATTGCAGATGTACTACGCATCCGCGGCGCAAGTCCCACCGCCGGGGCGTCACAAGAAAGGACCGAGGGTGTTTGGTAACTTGACAAGGTTTCCGTACGAACTCCAACTTGGTGATACGAGTGATGTGAGTGGTTTGGCGACATTCCCAAGTTCGAGCAAGTTGGTTGGATGGTATGGCCAAGTATCCTCAGAGGACTTACTTATAACTGCTCAATCGACAACTACCCAGAAACAAATGACACACGGTTCAGTTCTCCCTTCACCATACGAAGCTCTAATACTAGCCATGGGCCCTGAAATCCCCTTTGCATGGGGAGGCCTCAAAGCAGAACATACATACATAAGTCTCAAGTCCTCCATGGACCCAGGGCTCTTAGTCTCAGTCGTCGTACGCCTCCTCGAGCTCTTCTTCATACTCCTCCTGCGCCTCGATCAACTCCTCGCGCCGCTCTTCCAAGCTCTCGCGGTCGCTGCTTGAGATTGAATCACCGTCTTCATCGTGGGTGGGAACTGGAGGTGGAGGAGCAAAGGCCGGCTCTTCAGTGGGCATCGGATTCGGGGCAGCTACGAGGACGGCGGCAGGGGCCGCGTAGTGTCTTTCGTCGTCGGAGTCCTCGGCTGGGAAGGCGTAAGATACAGAGAAAAAAAAGGGGCGATATCAGATGGTGGTCATACTCAATTCATGGCCAATCAAGGCACCAGCAGCCAAACCTCCAACTCCCGCTGCGGCAACCATGCCATATCCAGGGCCCTTGTCCTTCTTCTTCTTATCCTTGTGCTCTTTGTCGTGCGAATCTCCATGTCCGTGACTATGAGAGTCTCCATGGCCGTAACCGTGAGAGTCTCCATGGCCATAACTATGAGAGTCTCCATGGCCGTGACTACGAGAGTCCCCCTGACCACCATAACCGTACTGCGGGACACCATATGGTGCTGGGGCTCCAGGAGGGGGGCCAAAAGGACCGGGCGGCGCAGGTGAGGCCGCAGGAGGATTCCATTGACTGCGACCTGTGGCTTGTTCAACGTAATACCAGCGCTGGCTATTTTGATCCCACTGGGCGATCCAGCCTGGAGGCAATGGAGGAGCCGCACCATATGGCGCAGGAGGACCCGTCGGCGGGGGGTGGGTGCCGTAACCACCGTGCGGATATGGAGGATATGACTGGGGTTCTTGGGTTGAATAATATGAGTCCGACGCCCCACGTTCGTCGAGGTGTTTGGAGGGTTCTAGCTGTGGTTCAGAAAAAGCATTGTTGCATGAGAGAAACACAGACCGTACCGTTCTTATTGGGCTTGTGCTTGTCGTCGTCGTCGTCCAAAAGTTCCTTCATCTTCTTTTTTAGGAAGTCCATGATTGCTGTTGTGGTTGCAGTTGTTGACGTCTGGAGTCAACCAGGTCGAATGCTTGAAGAAGTGAAGGGAAGGGAAGAGCTCGGGAAGTCAGAAGCTTAAAAGTAAAAAGAAGGGTCGTTCAGTATGGCCGACAAGATGGGGAATATATATATGGATGTACACATCGGGCTTGTCCTACCTATTTGAGGTAGTCGCTTACGCGTGCCGCCAAGACTCGTGCGGCTAGTGTCATTCATTATTGGACCTCGGGACGGGTTCCTGGCTAGACTAGACTTAGTCCTATTGATCTGTACCAATCAAGACCGTGGAGCGGATCTTATTGGTGGATTTGTGTCAGATGGTAAGCCAGTTTATGGACATCCCATCTGGGACTGGAGAGGAGGACTGGGAGAAACTGTCTGTACCAGTGTCAGATGGTAAGCCAGTTTATGGACATCCTATCTGGGACTGGAGAGGAGGACTGGGAGAAGTTGTCTGTACCGGTGCTGTCTGAGGACATGTGGCTAGTGATTCTGCAGTGGCTAGTGCTCTGCGCAGCCTTGGTGCCCAGAGAAGGAACATCAAAACCGGTATCAGGCCCCAGCCTCACACACACACACACACCTGAATACAATCAGTCAACCCATCTTCAATCAATCTTTCTGCCACCGTGACATCTTCAGATATCATCAAATCTGACAACCAGTACTGTCTGAGGACATGTGGCTAGTGATTCTGCAGTGGCTAGTGCCCTGCGCAGCCTTGGTGCCCAGAGAAGGAACATCAAAACCGGTGTCAGGCCCCAGCCTCACACACAAGCACATACCTGAATACAATCAGTCAACCCATCTTTATTCAATCTTTTTGTCACCGTGACATCTTCAGATACCATCAAATCTGACAATTTGACACAGGTTTATTAGGGAAATCGCGGGCGTAGTCGCACCATGAAACCAAAAAGAGACCGCCCCTGAGAATTACACCACAGTAATGACCGTACGCAACTTCTTTGCCCCCCATCTGGGGCCAATAATAGTTATTTATGTTAACCTTTGACACCGTAATATTTCACACCCCTCTATGCTCAGTGAGATAAGTTCTATGCTTCTCTTTGCCGTCAGGCCACTGGTACTGCTAATATAACACTAGTTGCTGAAGCTTTGTATCTTCGTCCTCATCTGAATCGCTGGTATCATCCTCTTTGAGAGGTATGACCCAATAGTTGATGCAAAATGCGCCCTGAATGATGTTCCGCTTTTTATCATGCCTGATACGAAAAAATTGGGCCTCAGCCTTCAGCGGGAGGGCCAAGCTCGTAATTGGCGCTCTCCTAAAGATTCACTCGCTTGATCAGCTCATGGCCGTATCTGGTGAACCAGGGGCCGTCGCTGAACGTATCTCGAAGGAAACTTGCCATACCTATGTAGCATCTGTGCTATTATAAATGAGTCCAGTCTTGTAATTAGTCAACTTCAAACAAAGCGAGGGCGAGAGCTGGCTACATTAACTTCACTCGGTCTCGGGCTTCTAGCGTGTAAGCTTCCTACTCATTCCATTAGTGCCGAGTTTCGCAAATGAACGATAGTACCTTACCTCAAACGCCATTGTGAGTGTTCTTACGAACATAGCACGTCTTGTGAGTCTCTTCTCGAATTCAACAACAGACCTACTCACGCTTGCGGAAGTCAAGACTTACGGAAACACGTGCACTATCCTCGTCTGGTTGAACCACTAACGAGTTAAAGCTTGGTTCGACAGGTTGACTTCGAACTCCCGAGTCATCGATATCTCGTCCCTAGTTAGAAAGAGTAATTGTACAGGGAAAGCAACTCACCATAATAAAGAACTCTCGTCCTATCCAACCCCACATGGGTCTTACTCTTATCGTCGCTATCGGAAGAGGTATGATAACTATCGTATTCAGAGGACGCTGACGGATGCGATCTTCCTGTATTTCCCCTTGGCTTCCTGGTCAGGAAAGCGCCCAAGGTATCTATTTAGATCTTTTTGGACGTGCCGGCCGCGAACTATACTGCCTACTAGTCCGCTCGGGGTTTTGATGGTAATGTCCCTCGATATGGGTAGTCTCCGCTGTCCAACCACGGTTGGCACGCGGCCAAAATCTCCAGTGGCTGCGACCACCGGTGCCTCTCTCGATATCTCCGTCTTCTTCTTCTGTAACCACGATCTCATTATCATTTGTCTGCGACTGATGGGTAGGAGGCGGTAGCGGAGGAGGCGGAGGTGGATTCTCTTCGTCGCAAGCTTTTTGCTTGCTGTTCGCATTTTCTTGTACGATATTACTTTCCTCTACCGCCCATGACTTAATCCTTCCCCTCTACGTCCTGATGAAGCATTTGAGTCTGAGTCCGAAGAAGCAGATGGCGCGACGTATTCAAGTGTCGAGGCGTGACGCGGTAGGTGCTAGGTAGGAGGAGGCGAACCGTCTCTGTATTGCTGCATAGTAGCCTCTGTCGCTTCCTTTTCTGTAGTATGTGCCATATTCAAAGGCGAGTAAAGGCGCGTATACTAGCTCTGTGTTATTATTGCCTAGCAACCTGCAAGTGTACGTTTACATAGAAGTACGTCCCCTATATCTTTACTACATAGTTAAATGCCTTCTTTATATCTGCTCCTCTAGCAGCGGCACTACTGCCTCGTTCCCTGCTACAGCTGCCCAGTGCAGCACCGTCCGCCCAGCAATGTCCTTCGCCTTGACATCTGCTCCTTTGTCTACTA